TTGGATTTACATGCTGTTTTCTTGATTCTTCACCTCTATTTTTTTCGTGTCACTTCTACACATAATTGGAGTGATATATTTCTGAACTTCTTTTCCTTATAGTTGTAGTCTTTTAGCTTATTTCCATCATTCCCTGTAGTATTTTGACAAGAAGGGAACGAAAACGTTCAATACTTTGACACATGTCCTAATTGGCTGGTGGTGACTCTTGCGTAGATGCATGCGTAGACAATACTTTTTTTTGTATTATTATTATTATTATTATTATTATTGTAAGAAAGGTTTGCTCCCCACACCGGAGCTCGCGCTATTCCGCCGACTTTACTTGACACTTGACTGACTCACGACTGCCATCCAAAGCGCACGAGAAGTCCATCGAACCTTCGACTCGGCAAACCTGCAAGAAAGCACCACTCCCTGCTCAATACACAGTGTTTCGGGGAATTCACCCCTCATCAGTTGAGCTTGAGTAGGCTGAGGAAGATTGTGCCTGAAGAGCATCACTTATATAGTGCTCTCCAGGCACAAACATCACCAGGGATACAAACTTACAGAGACGCTCCGCTTCCAGCGCGATAAACACCTCGTGAACACCAGATAGCAGCGTGAGTCAGTGTCGCTCCTGGACGGTGAGACAGACGTCGAGGACCCTCGGTCATTTGCAACGCTGTCACCTCCAAACCAACTAGTCGCAAGCCCGCGCTGGGCACAACAGTACGAAGTAGTGGTTGCGACTTCGGCGATGATTTGTAAGAAAGGTTTGCTCCCCACACCGGAGCTCGCGCTATTCCGTCGACTTTACTTGACACTTGACTGACTCACGACTGCCATCCAGAGCACACGAGATGTCCATCGAACCTTCGACTCGGCAAACCTACAAGAAAGCACCACTCCCTGCTCAATACACAGTGTTTCGGGGAATTCACCCCTCATCAGTTGCTTTCTTGCAGGTTTGCCGAGTCGAAGGTTCGATGGACTTCTCGTGTGCTCTGGATGGCAGTCGTGAGTCAGTCAAGTGTCAAGTAAAGTCGGCGGAATAGCGCGAGCTCCGGTGTGGGGAGCAAACCTCTCTTACAAGTCATCGCCGAAGTCGCAACCACTACTTCGTATTATTATTATTATTATTATTATTAACTGGTTTGAGGGAAAGAGACAAACGGGAAAAGTCTGACGAAAAAATTGACTGTCACCACCAGGACTCGAACCAGGGACCCTCGCTTGTAGCCAGCGATGCTCTAACCACTGAGCTATGGTGTAGTCGTCATCCCAGCAGAGACCGTTCAACGCTTTCTTCAGACTTCGTATTATTATTATTATTATTATTATTATTATTATTATTATTATTATTGTAGAAGAGAAAAGGACATATGGATACGAGTTAAGAGTAACTCTCCATCACTGTAACATGATACTATATACAGTCAGAAAGTGCAATAACTAGGCGCAAAACTGACAGAGTACTGAGACATTCGACGTCCTGACACCTAACTTCAACACATGTCCGTAGCGCTAACCGACAGCCTTCCAACTTGGAAGGTTCAAGGTTTTGGAAAGACCAAAGAGGGGAAGGCAAGCGCAACGAAAACGAGCAAAAGCTACAGTCCCAACGGAACAAAGAATGTCGATTGTCACTGGACGATGACGAGACCAGTACGATATTTGACAAAGCGGTCTAACTACAATTCGAAGCAGCAAAGCAGCACAACTAGTCCATCACAATGTCATGCATGAGGAGTACTGTAGGAGTTTGGCTTTCGGCTTGTACAATTCGTTTTCGCAAAGCTTCCCTTTCTTTACTTATCTTTGATATTTATGACCCACCCAAGTTGGGTGGTGTGCTGCTTTGCTGCTTCGAATTGTAGTTAGACCGCTTTGTCAAATATCGTACTTGTCTCGTCATCATCCAGTAACAATCGACATTCTTTGTTCCGTTGGGACTGTAGCTTTTGCTCGTTTTCGTTGCGCTTGCCTTCCCCTCTTTGGTCTTTCCAAAACCTTGAACCTTCCAAGTTGGAAGGCTGTCGGTTAGCGCTACGGACATGTGTTGAAGTTAGGTGTCAGGACGTCGAATGTCTCAGTACTCTGTCAGTTTTGCGCCTAGTTATTGCACTTTCTGACTGTATATAGTATCATGTTACAGTGATGGAGAGTTACTCTTAACTCGTATCCATATGTCCTTTTCTCTTCTACATTTATTTATGGCTCAACATCCGAGTTTAAAATTATTATTATTATTATTTTAATATGGCAATAAGTAGGACGAGCTGAAGCGACATGTGGACTACTTTATTAACAATGTAAGCGATGGAATCATCTTTTTTTCCTTTGCCCTTTTTCTTCTTACATGTATTTTATTTACCCTTTAGATTGTTTCTTGCATCGTCTCCATCGCTTACATTGTTAATAAAGTAGTCCACATGTCGCTTCAGCTCGTCCTACTTATTGCCATATTAAAATTATTGTCTCCTCGTCGAATTTTTAAATTATTATTATTATTATTATTATTTTGCTTGTTCGCGTTGGCATCAACCTGCATAAAGCAGGTATATAGCCTTCGCTTAAGCTGCCATAAAAAATTAAAAAAGAAAGCTCATCCTAAGCGAGAGGGCTAGAGGAAAATATAACGATAACGAGATACAGAATACAAAGAAATCCAATGAGTTCAGCATACAATTCAAAACAAGAACGAAAGGAAAGAAGAACAGAGCCGAATCTACCGATTGATCCATCAATCGACAAAAGGGGACTAATCCGTTAATGTTGCAAAGTAGAAGCTGATTGTAGTTGCAGATCTCCACTGTAACTATTAGTATGTATAAATTAGGACTGCGAGATCCTTGACTTTCCCCAGCATTTTTCTGGACTGTGAGCGGCTTAAGGCCAGGCTCATCATGAACAAGCTCCCTGACCTCCCATCCCTGTTCCCACCGTCCGAGGACATAAAACCGCAGCTTGAAAGTTTGCAGAAGCAGCTGAAACGATCTGGCGGGTCTGTTCAGAAGCCAGCTTGGTACAAACAGTAACATGTTTGACTTTTCGCATGAACCATATACTCCTTATCATTCTGTTCCCCTTTCTTTTCCAGGTTAAAATTATATAAGTGCTCATCACTTTGGTTTCATGTAGTCCCCAGTTACAAAGTTGCAAAATGCAATAACAAATTTGTATTTATCTTGTACATACATGTAGTAGCAAACACCGGTGACAAAATCCGTCAGTAAATCCTTCAGTACATGAACATTTGAACAGGCGCAACATGTCGCTTCAGCTGATTCTGTTTATTGCCATCCTACTTCCTCCGTATACAACAACTTCGTGACTTTCTTTGGAAGGCTTCACACAGCTCTGGAATTGTTCCGTTTGACTTGGAATAACACTCGTGGCATTGTATAACCTGTTTGCAAGCTATATACGAAGAAAAAAGCAACTCAGACGAATGAGATTGAGTCTATTCAGAGTCTTCGTCACTTGTGTCATTGTCACCTGACGGCGCTGACTCCGCATCGCCAATAGTCGCTGCTTCCGCTCGCATTTCGTTCAGCTTTTTGTCAGCGGAGTGATGATTCAACGCGGCACTCTGGCTACTTCCTCTTCATCTCCAGAGCTGCGTACGAATCGATGTCGACTGTTCAGTCGTTCCAGCCCGCGACCTCAACTATGCCGTGAAACGAGTACTACAAGCACATCCACAGGCTTCGCATTTTCTCGGCAGTATACTCCTCCCAGCATTTTACAACGGCTTCGAGGAGGTCCTGCCATTCCCCTTCGCAACAAAGGAGACGTCTGACTGGAGAGAGGCGAAGAAAGCCAGGTCGTCGACATTCCGATCTGGAGTCTGCGCTGGTTGCACTACGACTGAAATGTTTCATCTTGTCGTGCGAGCGGAACCGTCTTATGGTCTCACGCTGCAGGCCGTGCACCATAAGTAGACCTACGAGCCTGGCCAGCTTCAGCGAACGCACTGCGCAGCCCATCTGCGCAGGTCAGCCTGGCCCATCTACGCGCGGCCGACAAGAAAACTCATGAACACTTTCATTTTTTTGCAAAATAAATCGTGCGAAGAAGATGCACGGAATGGCTGAAAACTAGGCTGAGGAATAGCAGCATCCAGAGACTCTCAAACAAATTCATGGTCCATCGCTTCTGACAATGGCAGCGAAGACATCAGGGAGCTGATTGCAGCAACTCTCTACCAAGCGCGATGCTGGTTACTCACCAGGGCAGGGCGCTTCCATCGCGCAAGAAATGGCCGCGAGCGAGAACTGGAAGTCCGATTTTGGAACGATCCAACCAGGGAAATTCCTTGAAAATTGGCCTGAACACCTCTCATACTGGTGTTTCACGATGTGCAAACTTTCAGAGAAATCGACCTGGGAGAACGTGGTGAGTTTGTGGGTCCTCGAGTATCGCGTATGATTTGAATGGTCGCGGGGACAGAAGAACAGTAATTTTACGACTCCCAGCGGTGCAAACAGACCGCGGCCATGTTCTCTCTGTCTTCCGCGATCACGTTCAAAAAATCGATGACGCAATGCATGCGCAGAGGCCTGCGCAGTGCGTTCGCTGACATCCCTACTGAACTTCAGGGCAGCGAGTGCCGCGTGACTCTGTGTTCCAGCTGCTGGCTCCACTTCGTCACTGTGTCAGTTTCGAGCGAGTAAGTGTTAGTTTTTTCAATCAACTCGTGAGTTCCTGTCAGCAACGTCCTCACGCGCATGGCTTCCGTGGAGAATCTGTTCGAGATCAACCAAACTTACCTCGACATGAATGTGGGTCATCGATGACAGCCTTTGGCGCGGTTCATTGAGCAGGTTGCTCAAAAACACCGCTGAAAAAAAAGTCACGAATTTGTTTGTATACGGGGGTAGTTGTACATGAACATTTAGTCTTTGTTGTGAAATCATGAACCTCCATTGTTTCATCGTTTATACAGAAACTCCCAATTAAGGCTCTCAAAGGCTTAGTAATATCATACCAATAATGACGTTTTGACTACTTACGAATGCAAGGTGAATCAAGAGGTGACCACATACCAGCTACTGTGCATGAGATAGAGTTGCCGGAGGTACGTTTGAGGGACCATGTGTCATTACACTTAGCTGTTGCAGTAGCTCCTTGCTTTGTAGACGTGAACACGTAGGTACCTCCAGTTGGATTCTTGGGGACACCGCAGTCTTTGACGGCAGAGAAAAACATTAAATGAAGAGAATTCGGCAAAATCATTCTGATTAATGTTGTGATTTCAGTTCATGACCAACCACAGAATGAGGACTGCTTGTTCCATCGGGACATTTGGAAAGGCACACTGAGACAGGGGCGTCGGACACGGTACAGTCACCACGGTATTGACCGTACCACTCTTTGCCCCGGTACCCCATGATTGATTCAAATGGTGATAAAAACACACCTGGCAGTGTGGTGGTAAATACACACCTGCCCTCACACGCGATCTAGGCTGCAATGTTATTCTAGCACAGAGCTCTCCTTCTCACCATCAATACCCCATGAACGAAAAAATACACTGACCTGGGCTCTAAATTTGCGACGTTTTTGGCTCATCCACCGCTCCCCCATGAGTAACTTGTACTTCAGATGGCTGACCATACCACACAAGAATACCTTCCGAAGCCCCTGTGAGACATTTATGTCTGACCACACTGGTACCAGAAGATGTGGTTTTTGCTTGCGTTGTGGCTAGTACTGTTTCATTTTGAGCATCATCTCTGGTGCATTAGTGCGGTTGCGCTCCTGAGATAAGATTTTCTGTCGGCTGTTCCTCTCCAGGACCAGCTGTCCATGGAATATTAGGGTGCCACTAATCACTTTTTACAGCAATGTGCATACACGGCGTTATCCACGCTGTGCGATAGGCCTCGTTGAGTCACCACTAGGACCAAGGCACTTCTTCACCAGGTTTTGCAACAGGAGAAACACTGCCGTCTGATCATTTGCTCGCAGAGTATGTGCAGTACCAGAGCGCATGCTTCACCGAAGACTTTCAACAAGGGGTTTACAGTTTTAACTTTTTACTTATTTCACCACCTGGTACATTTATCAAGATGCGCAGACTCCACTTTGGCTATCCATTATGACCCTACATCCTCACAGCACTTGCCCAAAGTAGCTGCCCAGTACCCGAGGATTTTCTGCGGGATCTTCCGCTACTGGTGCAGTCCATGCTGATTTTTGTTGTGGACCTGTTCTTCTTTCTCGTCATGTGCTGTTATTCAGTAAGTGATGCTTTGTGGCGGCTTCATTTGAGCTCCTGTGCGGCAAGGATTATTCCCAAGATGCCTAAGTGCTGGTAGCCTTGTGAAAATGCATATGGATCCGTGTGTGCTTTCCTGCTACGAGGTTAGATGCGGCTCGTGCACGGTTGTTGGAGAGCTCCAAACTTGATTATTCCCGACGCTATGCAAAAGACGTTACCTTAGTAGTGCCTGGCTCTAGCCAGGGTCCACACCGCGTTATTTCGTATGTCTGTGTGTGTGGTAGGACCATCATCACGTGATGCGCCATGACTGGCCCACGATCCCGTGCATGTCCTGCACCGTACCGTCACAGAAAGATGGCCACATTTGCTAAATTCCCAACTTGGCGGGCACAATTAACGGTCCTGCCATCACTCACTCGTCGTTGTGCAGAAGAGAGAAGTGGAACTCCAGTAACATTTCTTTAACGATGGATTTTCCTCGTTAAAACCTTAGACTTTGTGCCATGTTAGAGATTCAACTCTGACAATGAGCAATACAAGGTAACTTGGAATGGCGTGCAAACATACTGTAGTTGGTTTGGCTGTACTGTGTTGTTGTGAGCAGCAGTGACCCCTCATTCTCGTACCTTGTTTCAGGGCGTATTTTAGCCGTTTTGTGGATTTTGCCCAATATCCAAGCCACACTGGGGGTCAATGGACCAAACTGTAATAGTGAGTGAATAAGGGTTATCCAGAAGTAACTCGTGATGTCATCGTTTCTCTTGCCGCAAATTTCAAAAACTGCCCGCAAAACTTCAGACCATCTTGCATCATATGTCACACCGAAGTATTTTGGGGACGCAAGAGCTATCTGCCGGTGTGTAGTTCTTGCTAGTTGCGGACGTAGCTCGCTGTTTTACCAGCGCTTGTAATTTGGCTATTTTCAAGACGATCAGTCGTGTAGTCATGGGGTGATGGTCCTCGTCTTCTGGGGTGCTGGTGTGGCTAAGCTGTGCTGCCCTAGGAACTCTTCTACGGTGAGGCAATGTTGGCTTGATGGAGTTTCGCTCGTAGCTTGTTCGTGTACGCTGTAGCGTGGCTTGTTTGTAGACCCAAAAATCATGTGATGTTTTGACCATCTTTGAGGGGTATGCCAATTTCAAGGTTCCGGTCAGAAACTGTTTCAAAGGCTTTGTACAGTCGATCTACACCCCAAAGGAAACCTACCTGAAAATATATTGAAGTGTACAACATGCACAGAGGTGCTGAGTTGAAGTGCAAATGATTGACATACATTTTGCCGAGGTAGCTTACCCGATGCGTTGGTCCTCACGATCACAGTAGCAGTATTCTGTGATTGTAGGTCATCTGTTTTTGTGTAGGAAAACAATGAGTAGTTTGTGTATGGCCGGAGGCCAGTTATTTGTACACTAAACGTTTTCTCACAAACTGGTGTCGAGGATCCATTATGTTTCACACAGAATTTTCCAGTCATTGGTTCATACATAGAAAAAGTCGCAGTTATTGAAGTTGAAGTGGTGTTGTATGTCACAGTCGGAAGTATCGCTGAAAATAGAAGCAGCAGATAAGAATACAGCCATAAACTTGGTCCGCCAAGTTAAAATTGGCGCTTATCTTCACATTTGTCTCAAGAAGAAAATACAAACACTTGAAGCATACCACGATCAGAAAACAATACATACACATGGCTGGTTTTCTGCGAGATTCGACCTTCCGTGAAGATTATTCATTTGGAGTGAAGCTCGATTTTTGCCGGGACATTTTTTGTGCCACGTTGGCACGCAAAGCTTCGCGCTGTCTTGTCACTTGTCACCTCTTGAGATCGACAATAGCTACCGAGCTGCGATCTATTGTTCAGGAGGTCGTCAGGCTTCTTCCTGACGATGCTCTTCTGCTCAGTACTGACGACGAGGAATTTTACGCTGCTGGGATCACTCGAGATGATGCGACTGAGCTGGGTCGAGATTCAGACGATAACCCGAAAATTTCTCTGGTACACGTGGTAATGACACTGAACAAGATTCCTTAAAAAACTCATCTTTGCCAAATTTTCACGGAAGGTCCATTTTTGCAGATATCCGGCCACATGATGATTTACATGTCAGCAAGCAACTCAGTCCGGTTGCTGCACCTAACACCTTGCACCAGTGTCGCAAAGACTCTCTGGAGCAGGAGAAGCTCTTTTCCACGAGCTTTCCGAAAAGTATGTTACACGAGAGGGCCCCCATGATTCGCTGTATATTTAGATCAGCTCCCTTGCCAGGTCCTCGGTGAGTTTCAGAGCGTGTCCGCCGGATTTTTCTCGCATTAGAGATGTTGGTGCTGGCATGAGCTGCAGTTTCTTCTTCAGCAATTTTCTGGTGATAACTATTCACTAGGCGCTGTACGAGCTGACTGAAATTTAAGCTCCAGGAGCATATTTTCAACTTTTCTAATGAGACTATACCTCACTGGGGTAAACAATCGTTGCAATCACTGACATCAGTCACCTGCACAAGTAGGCAGGAACTATTCTCCATCGCCCTGGAGTGGAAACATTCAGACTTCTTTTACGGACTGGAAATCGTCTTGTGTTGACGGAAATGCTCAAGTCAAACGACTAAAACGAACCGATTGCAACTTCTGTGATGATTTGTGCTGTCCTGTTGTCGGATGCAATGGTCAATGGTTATGTTCGGATCGTGAATCAGTGGTTCCATGCCGTATGATGCAGGCAGAACACCGAAAAATCAAGTGCAAAGATAAGTGCCAATGTTAACTTGGCGGACCGAGAACAACCATGTCCCTCACAAAACATTCTTGTTATATCTGCCTCTTGTGAATTACTGGTAGCTCTATTCAGGTCAACGTCTTGCCGTTTCGAGTATAGGTTAGTACATGGCAGGGAGAGCTTTATGGCTTGATAGTACATGGCAGGTTAACTTACAGTCCATTCAGAAAAAGATGGACTTCTAGCTTTGGCCATAGATGGGTCAAATGTTGGGGGTTTTTAGAATTTTTTTCTGCAATCCCCTATGGAATCCTCTTCCAATAGACCGATCCCCTTATTATTGTCTGGCTTCGAGCAAGGGGGCAACTCCGCAGTCGCGTGGGATCCTGCTGCACACACGCGACCAACATCACCTCGGCTGTGCGTGACTTCTCGCATGCGAAGTGCAGAGCACGCGAAATCTACACGCAGTGCAAGCCTGTCTACAAAAAATGCCACAAGAACTTTTGATTTGAGCTGTTTTGTTTTTTGTTTTGATCTTCCTTTTTACGACTTCAGGATGCCTTCTCAGGATCATTGCTGCGTTCCTCACTGTCAGAACAGGAGGACGAAGCAAACAAGTCATTTCACTCCTTTCCTCGTGTGGAGCCACAGCGGCCTGGAGCAAGCGGATCCAGGCTATTCCCCGTGAGGAAGGACGTAGTTTTAGGGTCACTCTGAATATTTGAGTTGCAGCGATCATTTCGATCCCGAAATCGAAATCGTTTTGCCCAGCTCTACAAGGGCAGGATGAGTCCAGGAAACCAAACAGCTGTCCTAGGGTACCAGGTTTGCTTTTCGCAAGAGAGTGGAGTCTGGACGCTCTGCTCCCCATGCTCGCAAACAGTATTTGCTGAGCCTAGTGCAGTTCGGTCATGGAAGTGCAGCGTCTGCATCACGAGCTCCCCATGCTCGCAAACCAGCATTTTGCTGAGAGGCAACGGCATTTTGAGTTGGAAAGGAACCTGGCTTAGTGCAGTCTGGTCCTGTAATGGAAGTGCAGCATCTGCATCAGGAGTTGGCAGCAAGTAGAGCTCGTGTACAGAGTCTCGTGGACCAGTTGGACGATGGGGTGAAGAAAGCCGAAAACAGCTTACGTACAATAACATAAAGAAAGACTCTGAGCCGCTCCAGTTTCTGACTGGTTTGCCTTCAGGTGTTTGGACCGCTCTGTGGGACTTCTTTGAGCCTAGCCGAGAAAATGTACTCGCCGAGCCAGATCTGCGAAGACGGAAGCTGAGGGACGGCGGATACAGTTGGAGGTGGCCGTAAATCGCCAATGAGCATGTAATGGAGGATCAGCTGCTATTGGCATTGATGTGTCTAAGCCTGGGCCGAATGGAACAGAAGCTGTCATGCGTGGCACAAGTTAATCATCCGTTTCACGGTATATAGCTAGCTGAGCTGGAAAGATGTCTTGTTCCTCCGTTTGGGCATGATCCCCATTTGGGCGAGCTGGCGAGATGTTCAGTCATCAATGCCATGTACCGCAAGACATTCTGCATTGTGGATGAAACAGTTCAATTTTGCCATGCACTTAGGGTTCTCGCACCGGCACAACAAGACCCAACAGATCCTTGCGCTCTTATTTTCTCCCTTTGTAACATTGCTGATCACAACACCCGGTAGCCAGTCGCAGATGCAACCAAATCAACCAGATTCTCTTACTCTTTTTTTTCCCAATACTGAAACCAAAGGTATACCAATATTTGCATCGAATGCAGTGATGATTTCAATACTGTCCACTAGTACAACGCATTACCAGACTGGCATATAATCATGATAATATTATCTATTTCGCAATCACTGTCATTGCTTTCTTAGATCTTCAATCATCAATATCGGACCATAAACCGTCTATCATCTTATATTATATCATCATTAGTATCCTGCTACTATCCTCCTCTAACGATGAGCTCGAAGAAAAGAAACAGCGGTCTAGAGGCGTAAACAATATCTGTCAACGGAAGTGTCCTTGCTGTGCTGGTGTGTTTATGCTTCGTGCATTAGTTCGGCCAAGAGCGCATGGTGGTGACGGGTTGAGGATGTTAAATATACTAGAAAATAGTTCACTCTGAACATGCAGGGGGGTATATTCATAGGTTCGAAAGAACCGCACACACACTTGGCTGCAGACAGCGGCAAGCTTTGGCCTTCGTGCTTCGAAGAGGGAGCAATCCACTGCGCTACGCTTGCGATTAACAGTAAGCTTCGGCTTTTCAAAGGTACGACTCATCATTGGCTCTGGGGTAACGTTCCTGGAACAAATGCCCCATTGCCAACTGAGGGCCAGGGAGCACGCAATCTGCCTTCCTGGGCGAGAAGTGTTCCAGCACAAGAAGCAGCACGAATACATGCTGACAAAGACCACCATCACCACCAGCCGGCACACAGCACACTGTTCTTCAAACACCATCCACTCCGTCCATGTGTTTGCACTAGTGGTCAAACGAATGCTGAGAAGCTTCGAACGTTCGTTCTCGAGTCGACATTCGAATGTCAAGTTGACTGCCCAAACGAATATCGTAACTCACAAAACTGTGAACTCTGCCCTCATAGCAGCTATTTTCATGCATGCAAGCACGTACACACGTCTACTTTTGAAGCCGTGCCGCGCTGTCTTCAAGAGATGACTGCTGTTTGCCCTCGTAGCAGCCTGCACCACATGGGGCGACGAATGGGCTAAGCTCCGGATTCGGTTACACTGCGACAACTCGGCGGTAGTGGACTGCATCCGTTCGGGCACGTGCAAAGCCCCAGCTGTGATGAAGTTGCTATGCGAACTGTTCTTCGTTTGCTATGAGTTCAACTTTCATGTTAGCGCTGTGCACATTGCTGGCTCCAAGAATGTCATTGCAGATTGCCTTTCTCGTCTTCTTATGCAGGAATTTCGACGTCATGCTCCGTTAGCCCGGCCGAGTCCAGACCGTGCTCGTCTTCCAGCAGTCTTGTGAGCGAAGTCACTAAGTACGCTGCCTGTGCAATTGCTGCTAATACCAGACGCACCTACTCTGCTGGTGAGCGTCGTTTTGTCAGTTTCTGCTCCCTTTTCAATCTGCAACCTTACCCAGCTTCTGATCTTACCCTCAGCTGCTTTTGCGCTTTTCTTGCTCGCTCTGTCCGCCCTTGCACGATATCTGTTTATTTGCAAGCTGTACGGAATGCACACATTGAACAGGGTCTAGAGGATACCCTGATCGAGACCTGGCTTCTCAAGAGAGTGTTGAAGGGTGTTCAACGGTGCCATGGGACCGAGACAGTAAAGCCTAGATTGCCCATAACTATGCCAACTCTAAGGAAATTAGTCGATGCCTGTGATCACCTCCCCGTGTTGCCCGAGCATGACCAAAGTTCTCTTCAAGTCTGCTGTGCTGTTGGCATTCTTTGGTTTCCTAAGGTGCACCGAATTTACAGAGGGCCTTACAAGAGAGTGTATCAGATTTGAGTCGGGCAGCATGACCATCCTGCTAAAGAGATCAAAGACAGACCAATTTGGAAAGGGAGTCCACATTGTCATTGGACCGGCCGGTCGCCCTTACTGCCCTGTGTATGCTATGCTACGCTACCTGGCGATGATTGGCAGTCGAAACGCATCCACTCCTCTGTATTTACTTGCCAAGGGTGTGCCATTATCCAGAGCTGTTTTCACCAGTACTGTGCGCTTGCTGCTTGAAAAGGCTGCGGTGCCAAACATCGAACTCTACTCGGGACACTCATCCCGAATTGGCGCAGCTACTACCGCCGCCATGGCAGGGATACCCGATTCGCTGATTCGTTCTGCCGGCAGGTGGCAGAGCGATGTGTGTCTACGCTATATGCGAATTGCAATGGAGACCAAGTCCAAGATCTCGGCTCAGCTTGCCTCAGTGAGTGACCTAATCTGATTCTTTGCACGGACAGTTTATGTTCCATCCCAGAAGTCCTAGCATAGGAATGTCACTGCTCGATAATTTCTTGGGGGGTGGTTCGGGGATAGTGTTGCTGCTTTGTGGACCTCTATCGCTCCTAACTGGTCACTTGCTTCGCTAGTTGCGGCTCTTCACGAGCCAGTTGTTGCCAATTGCATTGGCTTTGCCCTGCAACCCCATTGTGGCACAATGTGGGTTTATTGCGGCTCCTCGCGAGCCAGTTGCTGCCAGTGGCCTGGCATAGCTTTCCAGCTCTTCGAGCTTTTGCATTACAAGACCAGTTACTCGAAGCAGCATACTATCTCCAAAACAATTCCTTGCTGCCTTGGGCTGAGTATGAGTGTGTGAGGGATATGGTGCTAACGGAGGAAGTATTATTATTATTATCATGACTTTTCCCGTTTGTCTCTTTCCCTCAAAACCAGTTAATATTATTATTATTATTATTCAAATGATCAGTCGGGGAAGTGAACTGCCTGAAAAGAGAAAAAAACGCCAGACCCACCAGGACTCGAACCTGGGACCCTGCTTGTCATGAGCAATGCTCTTACCACTGAGCTATGGGACCAGGCTGAACCTAGAAGGCGCTGACAAGTTTTTCACTCCAAAGGCAGCTCACAACACGTGCCACGTTTGGACTGCGCACTTTCGCAGGACATGACATACGTTTTTGCACAGCGGCTGGCGCTAGAACTGTGCTTCGGATTTTGCGATTTTTTCGAGGGCAATGGCTTCCTTTTTGCCTTGGCCACCTATGCTATAATGATGTACAGAAAATTCCAAAAAATCCATGAGAACCGTTTTTTTAGCTAGAGTGGGATTGTCTAATAAGTGCTAGGGGAACCCTCCTTTGCGGCTGTATGTAGAGTGCTAAAACGTGCCCTGTTGGTCGAAAAATCCGAATTTTTTCTCCGCGGGACACCCCCGCACCTCCGGTCGTACCACTCTCAACCACCCTGTGACGCCCCTGCATTTCGAATTCCCTCCGAGGGATATCATAGTCGTACCAGCGCCTCCTGACTGCCGCGATCAGATCTCGCCATGTACGATGTATAATTTTTTATGATCATCACTTTAGCCGATGAAAAATGTATGCAATAAAATCATTTTGGCAAAGAAATCGTATCATTATAGCCGATATATTACTATAGCCGATTATTACTATAGCCGATCCGATATGTATAGAAAGGGGTGGTTTAAGAAAATGAATTTGAGAATACGATCACTATAAGAGGTATATTACTATAGCCGACAACCGTATAGCCGATCCGCACTGTACATGGTTGTGCCACTTGCCCGGACCTCCGGGTCACTCAATCATGTGTCAGTGCACGTTGTAGCCACAGTGCAGGGCGACTTTACCGTCCTTGTACATTGCATGCAAGATATATGTACAGTCATACACATCTGTTATCCACATGTACATGTATATCTACAATACATTTCTGTCATTTTGATATACATATTGCATACTAAATGTGAAGATCGGGTTTAGTGACAGATCGAATATAGCGACATTTTGCTTTCTCCCGAATGAGTGTCGCTATATCCAATCTCCACTGTACTATTATTATTATTTTTATTTTTATTATTGTGGAAGAGAAAAAAGACATATGGATACGAGTTAAGAGTAACTCTCCATCACTGTAACATGATATACAGTCAGAAAGTGCAATAACTAGGCACAAAACTGACAGAGTACTGAAACATTCGACGTCCTGACACCTAGCTTCAACACATCTCCGTAGCGCTAACCGACAGCCTTCCATTTATTTATGGCTCAACATCCGAGTTTCAAATTTTTATTATTATTTTTATATATCATTCAATTATCGTGTATCTGTGACGAGAGAGCTTGGAAGCTCAGGGCCCTACGCTATGCTTTTTTGCCTTGATGACCTAGGAAAAAAAAGCATAGGGAATGGGTGGTATATATTCTTATAAATTTCTACTCTTTGTTTTTTGACATAACCTGGGATTCGAACCTGCACTATCGCCCTGCATGCATCCCCCGACACACTTCGCATACATACTAATTCTTCCAAGTTGCTTCACGTTATGATCTTGTATTTGAAAGCCCTATTTTGAATATGCATTCTGGCCAGCCGTCTTTGATTGTACGGTACGGTACGGGACATGTACGGGAGAGGTACGGGACAGGTACGGGACAGGTACGGAACAGGTACGGGACAGGTACGGTCGAGGGTAATACGACACCATCTACCGCCTTGTTGACGGGAAAAAAAGAATAGGGATGTTATAAATTTTCAATTTTCTTACTTTTTTTTCAGGCATTACCTGGAATTCGAACCCGCACTATCGCCCTACATGCATTCCCCCATACACTTCGCATTCATACTCATTCTTCCAAGTTGCTTCACGTTATGATCTTGCGTTTGAAAGCCCTATTTGAATAGTGCGGCCAGCTGTATGTGGCCAGGTGCGTTTGATGGTACGGTACGGGACAGATACGGGATAGCGCCAGGCGTGACACAAACACACAAACAAACAAACACCAAATTAAAGCTGTATGGACCCTGGCTAGCGCCAGACGTTACTGAAGTAACGTCTTCTGCATAGCTACGGGAATTAAAACTTTATAAATACTCACGAATGCAAGGTTTATAAAGTGTAGGTGTCCATTTGCCATCACTGGTGCAGGATATCATCTGTTGTTTTCCAGTTTGAGGTGTATATCCATCAGTACACTTTATCGTGAGGGTCGTACCAGCTGTTGTTAGACTTCCAGATGGAAATTTACCACCAGGAATATTAGTTGGTGGTGCTCCACAGTCCACTGTGTGTCCAGTAGGATAGAGTTACACAAATTCAGAAATAAGTGGCAGGATTACACATTTCCCTAGTGACATGACTTTGAAGAGCTTGGGAACAAAATGGATCATGGGTCAACAATCCAGCACAAACTCAAAATAGCACCAAAGATTTGCCTAGAAATGTGCTTATCGGAGTGAGTCACTGAAACTGAATAAGGAGCGTTTGTCAGTTGGCAACCTCACTTTGTTGTCATCTTCATGTGGACTGTAAATATAATATCTCGGCGACAGATGGCGTTTCAATACACCGATCCCCTTATTATACTGGGTTCGAGCACAGGGGCAACCTCACTCGCGATCGAGCTAGTTTTTGAACGTGACAGCATCTTTGACAGTGTGTTTCAGGTTTGTTTTGGAATGTCTTTTGCTTAGCTCAAGTGGTTCGCGATGGCTTCAAGCGGTGCTGGACCTCCTGCTGGTAGGAGCAGAGTCTCCGAGAGAGACATGGACTGTGATGCAGCTGCAGGATTTTTTCAAGGCGCGGGAGGGAACGATCTCGGGCCACAAACAGGAGTTACTCCAGAGGTGAGTTTTTTTGTTGTTGAAATATTCGAATCGCGAATCGTGTTGTGAGATTTATTTTGCGCCTTGGCTACAACAGACTGTATTTCTTTCTCCTTGAGATCGGTGCTGAAGATAATAGTAACCTTTTTCTGGTCTGCCTTTTCCTCTCCAGAGCCATCTTCTATGAAGGTAACCGTGGTTCTGCGAAGTCACCAAGTCGCGATCGCGATCAGCAGCCCTGAAGTGGAAAAATCGATTTTCCAACGATCTGGTTGGACATCAGCCACTAAAGTACTTCTGATTTGCCTGTAGTGACAACAGCAGCCATCCTTGGACACCTTGCAAAGACAGGAAAATCCACTGGTGGAAGCGACTTCTATGAGGTGACGATAGCAGTGGTGATCGCTGTTTTGTCAAGTCGAAGGGCTAGCCAACCCAGAGGAAGCATAAAAAAACGATGAGCAGTGCGTGGTATTTGTTGAGCGTGAAGAGCTAAAGGAGGACAGTGCAAACACATGGATGGAGGGGATGGTGTTTGAAGTGCTGTGTGCCGGCTGGTGGTGATTGTGGTCTTTGTCAGCATGTATTCGTGCTGCTTCTTGTGCTGGAACACTTCTCGCCCAGGAAGGCAGATTGCGTGCTCCCTGGCCCTCAGTCGGCAATGGGGCATTTGTTCCAGGAACATTACCCCAGAGCCAGTGATAAGTCGTACCTTTGAAAAATCGAAGCTTGCTGTTAATCGCAAGCGTAGCGCAGTGGGTTGCTCCCTCTTCGAAGTACGAGGGCCAAAGCTTGCCGCTGTCTGCAACAAAGTGTGTGTGCGGTTCTTTCGAACCTATGAGTATGAATATACCCTCCCCCCCCCCTCCCTCTCTCTCTCTCTCTTAGCCCTTTGCGTGCTGAGTGCGAGTTAACTCGCACTTTATGCATGACCTGATCCACTACGTACAAGTTAACTCGCAAAAAGATTCGCGCGATATATCGCAGTGCATAGACCAGTGTACAAACTTTCGTAACTTCGTCAAACATGAACGCACCGCGATAATCAATACACCGTTGGAAAGGTCTTGGCGTCATCTTTCCGGGGATATAAAGTTCTTTGCGATAGGATACGAATTCATTGAGCGGCGAGAACACGGACATCACGGCCCAGAGTGAACTCGAATTTTTTGTTCATGAATTCTTTTTGTTGAGGAGCGTGCCAGGGGATTCCACTTTGGCACGGCGCATGCGTGATGGACATAAAAAGAAAGGCGCTTGGATCTGAGCTTTGCCGCGCAGTTTGAATTGTGAAAATCTGTTGAATTTGGGCAAGAAGCCGAACAAGAATGTGAAATTGAGTCGTGGTGCCGTTCCGAGGCACGGTGGAGTAGTTTGGAGAGGACGTGGAAGTGGCCCTGATGTGTCTATGAAGCTGAGAGCTGCCAGGATGGATTCGCTTGGTCCTGACCTTTCCAACGAGCCCAGGACGATGAAAATCCATCAAGGTGGAGTGAAATGAGAATAAATTTCGTTCCGAGCTGTGAGTGCATACTCCACCAAGAGAGTCAGTGCGCTGGAAAGCCAGTGGATTGGAGAAAAGGGGCTCAGCATGCAAAGGGTTAAGAAGACTGCATGTTCATAGTGTCTTGTTCCTCCGTTTGGGCATGATCCCCATTTGGGCGAGCTGGCGAGATGTTCAGTCATCAATGCATGTACCGCAAGACATTCTGCATTGTGGATGAAACAGTTCTATTTTGCCATGCACTTAGGGTTCTCGCACCGGCACGGCACAACACGACCCAACAGATCCTTGCGCTCGTATTTTCTCCCATGGTAACATTGCTGATCACAACACTCAGTAGCCAGTCGCAGATGCAAAAGACCGAACAGATCTTTCCACTCAAGATCTGGTGTGACCGGTCGGCAGGGAACACGCAAGCCAGCTGAGCGCCAGTGATAACAAGCCCGAAGGGGGCTGGTTTCGGTGTGACCGCAGCCTTAGACTAGGCGTTACACCGGGTACAGTCCAGTTACCATTGAATTGACATTTGATGTTGGGAGTTTCAAGGTTAGGATTAATGTCATTACCCTTGGAGCACACTATCATCATACTACTGCCTTCTGTCGTAGGACCAGCAATCAGATAGGCACCATGAGTTGTGTGTGGTGACTGCTCACAATCTCCTATAATGCAATAGGTCCACGTCAACAAACCAAGTGAGTTGCAATGCATTGAACTTTGAAGGCAGCATCAACAAGGAGTTCTATTGAATGGGAGGATGATGTTATTGCGCATTAGTGTTGTACATGTGGCTGGGCTTGTAGCTCTTCGTTGTACATGTGGCTGCGCGTGTAGCTCTTTTCGCACATGCTGCTGCATTTGTGTACTTGAAGTCTTTTTGTCGTACCTGCCGCTGCGTTTGTGTATCTTTGTTGTACATGCTGCTGAACCGCGGTACACCCTGCTGCGCTGTCTTTGACTGCTGTGTACATGCGGCTGCACCGTCTTTTGTCCCCTCCGTATACGCACTGTCGCATCTTGTCCCCGTTGGATGCGCACTTTCTCGTCTTGTCCCCGTTGTATTCGTCCGTTTGCCGTCTTGTCTCAGTTATATTTGGTCGTCTGCCGTCTTGGCCTCACTTCCCATTCGGGACTAGTTGTATTACGCTCGGGCACCAATTTCGTGTCCACCGCCGCACTTTTCCTTATGTCTTCATAATATATTCCCCTGTCTCGTCTTGTTTCGATGTTAGTTGTGCCCTAGTCTCATGAAAGCAAGATCAGAATATTCTCTCTAAGCAAACAAGTTGGCCTTTTATTGTGTGGCGCAGTCGCGCAAGAGGACTGTAGCTCGTCCTTTTTTAGTGGACGACATTTGGCGATCCACGTGGGGCTCGAATCCATGACCCTGCGATTAATATGAAGAGTGTCATGCTCTACTGACTGAGCTACCCGGGCACAATACTTCTCCACATAAGAGCTGCAGTAGGGCTACTGACAGGTGCCAGTGGAGGGCAAAGACCAGCATAAAACAGCATTCATCACTCCGGAGGGCCTATTTGAACTCCGGCGTATGCCATTCACAGTCCAGCGGATGATGCATGCCGTGCTGTGGGCCTTCCTGTGAGTCACGTCACTGTGCAGAACACTCGGCAGTGTGGTTCGAGGCCACACATCTCCTTCCGCGTTGGCCAATGGTGATGTATCCATGCATCGCTTGCCTCGCAGGTGCATAATCCGGGAGAGGGAGAGCATGGCCAAGCATGCGCAAATGGGCATTCTCCACGGTTGCGGATATCGGCTCCTCAGTGCATCTTATATATTGCTGCTCATTGGACATGATGTTGGGGTATGTCACGCCTATCAAGTTCCGTAATTGCTTACGATGAAAGACATGCGTAAATTTGCTGTATTTGTGTTCATGTATGAGGGCAATGTCAGTTGATAACCAGTCGATAGTCAGTCGATAGAATTGAATCTAGTCAATAAGGAATTTAGGTTAGTCGTTTCAACCCTCAACCCTTTGCATGCTGGCCTGTTTCCCCCAGTAATCTTTGCTTTCCAGCGCACGGACTCTCCTGGTGGAGCGTGGGAGCACTGATCAGGACGACATGTTCTCATTTCAGCTCCCCTGGGTGGAATTTCATCATCCTGGGCTTGTTGGAAAGATCAGAACTAAGAATATCCATCCTGGAAGTTCTCAGCTCCATAGCCCCACCAGGGCCAATTTCACGACCTCTCCAAACTGGCCCACCACACCTCGGAACAAAACAACAACTCAGTCACACATTCATTTTCGGATCCTTGCTCAAATTCAACTGATTTTCATGATTCAAACTGCTTTGCAAAGCTGAGATCCATGTGCTTATTTCGATGTCCATAACGCATGCGCTGGGCAAAAGGGAAATCCCTGGCATTCTCCAAACTGCATAGTCACGAACAAAAAATTCGCGATCGCTCCATGCCGTGATTTCCGTGTTTATTTTGTTGCCCCTCTGTCAATATCTATCCTATCGCAAAGAACAGAATATTTTTGGAAAGCTGGGCTCAATACCCTTCCAACGGTGTGTCGTTTGTGGAGATCAGATGCTCTTTCACAGAGTAAAGAAAGTTTGCACACCGGTCTATTCACCACGATAAACGACGCAAACCGAAGCGCGTGTATACACGTCATCATAGAACCGGCATAGGGTTCAGGCAAGTGTATACACGTCATCCGCCTGAAAAGAGTTAAAAACAGTACTCAACATGACTCCCCACCGGGCACAAGTGACCCGGTATTCTTTTTCCAAACGGTTCCAAGTATCTCCCTCCCCCTCACCGGGTTGCTGAACCGGCTGACCCGGCTTTGGAGCAGTCACTGACCTGGTGGGCTGGTTGGTGGGCTGGTTGGTGGGCTGGTTGGTGGGCTGGTTGGTGGGCTGGTTGGTGGGCTGGTTGGTGGGCTGGTTGGGGGGCTGGTTGGTGCGCTGGTTGGTGGGCTGGTTGGTGGGCTGGTTTGTGGGCTGGTTGGTGGGCTGGTGGAAGGGCTGGTTGGTGCACTGTCGGGCATACTGGCTGGTGGATTGGTTGTTTTTTCACTGACCCCTCCAGTCTCACTGTTTGCAAGACAACTGGTAGTAGCTGCGATGATACCTGCACCAAGAACAATGGTGTACGACTCTGTCGTAGTCCGGGAGTGAGTCCATGCTGACCCTCTTGTTGGCTTAACAACGTTGATGAGGAGAAGCAAAATCATCACTTGCTTTAGGCGCAGTTTGAAAGCAGTGCTGCAAATACTCCTGCACGTTCCATCTTCCATGATCAGCTAAAGTAAGAGGCATACAGAATAAAAGTTTAAGCATACGTCGGGAGAATAATTAAATGTGTTAGCATAAGATTCAATTTTTTGAATCTATTATCCAGTTTTCAGTAGGCAGTGAATAGTTAGTACCACTAATGGTTTCAAAAAATCCTGAAAGACTCCTCACACAGCTTCAGTACACATACAGTAAAACCTGTAACTAAAGACCACCGTGACTAGTGACCAGCCTGGTACTACAATTTGTTTGCAGGCAACTCGCCTTATCTGTTTTAACATTCTTCCTGCAGCCAAGCTGATATCGTATCATCATTAGTATTGATGGTTAAGGAGTGATGCCTATATTCGGAGCCTTTTGAAAGATGCCATCCAAGAGAAGTTTTAGTGGAAGGCACACCGCTATGGACAGTTCACGTCGCATAGAGCCGAGATATGCCCACACTCCAAGCAGGACTATATTTGGCTGCACGACTTGTGCATCAAACTTTTTGCCACGCGAGCGACTTGACACACGACGGCTGCTCTTTCGTAAAGTACAGAGTCTATGGTGCACAACGTTCGCACACCCCTCCAGTCACCATGTGCCAGATAATCACAACAATCTCAAGGCACAGGGTCGCTCACAATGTGTCCTTGACTTAGGCAATCGTGTCTCAGCTGAGGCGCTGGATCTCCTTAGGCATAGACCGGGCTTCGTTCCGTCATCTGGCAAAGCCAACCAGAGTATTGTGGAGGATGTGGAGGTGGGAATTGAGAAAGGCGTACTCCCCTCGTTGTCAACGAACCAGCACCTTGATGTTGCCAACGCTGGTCCCGGCAAATGTGACCCCAACACCTGGTGTCTTAACCCTTTAAGAGCCGCCCCATACTTGAATGCGTCGTAAACGACGCATTCAAATGCAAAACTTCAAAAGATCGTAACTCAGTCCAATGTCGCTCAAATCCATCGATCGAAATATCCAGGGCGAAGAGAAAACTCTCACCTGTCGGAAGAAACAATCGCCGAAGCGCTGCGAGCAACGGTTCCTGAGATAAATCACTCGTAAGTTGAGCCGCGATCGCGGCAATTTCAAAAGCGCGCAGTGCGACTTTAGTATTGAGAATTTTGAGACTTTTCGTCACGCTGGTTTACTTGAATTTGCACGGGTTTCACTGTTGATATTGTCAAGAGTACACAGCGAAAAATTGGAACTCCACGATCGAGTAAAATGAAATATCTGGAGCGGGACGCAATTGGACGCATTTGGGGCATTTTTCGTACTGTCGCTGCGATCTAGCGCTGGATAGGCAGTGTGCTGGCTATCATGATCGACCTCATTCTCTTCCTCTCGCGGAGACCGTTCCAGGAAGCCCTAGATTGTGAGGATTGAGTGAGTAGAACTGAAGCTATGATCCAAGGAACACGAAAAATGAAGAATTTTGAAATTTTCCTGTGGCTCTTAAAGGGTTAAAGCACACGGCTTCCAACAAGGCCCTAAGCAGTGAAAGGATGAAGAATTCAATCTCGCGAGCTTCAAACGTGAAGCAATGGCCTGTACAAAACCTCACGTGTATCATCTCCCAACATGTCTCACTCTGATCGAGAACAGCTCAAGAAGGTGGGAAAGAAGGAGTCAGTGATCAGCAAGAAATCAGATAATTCTCGTGGCGACACTTTGACAAAAGGTCACTCTTCTTGTTGACAGAGAGGTGCTTGGGTGTTTGCGCAATGCATCGCCAGCAATCGCATGTCATCACGTACATTGAAAATCAACATAATTTTGCGAATCGACCTTTTTTTCAGGATCACTTTTCAACGAGGACGAAGCAAAGTCGGCCGAACGAAGCCTAGAGGAAGAAAATCACCCTCTCCACTTCACCATCACGATACTGACATAGATACGAGATGAAACAACTAAAAAATCCACAAGAAAACTGTACGGCTATCATCGCGCTGACTTTGGTCTGACTTTGGGCTGAGAATTTCTATCACGATCAAAAATGTACGAGGAGCACTCAAAAATAAGCCACAGACGGACCTTTATCGCTCTCTACTCCTTTTCCAAGGCACAAAAGTCGACTCTCCACTTTCAAACCAGGAACCAGACATACCAGTGGTCCTTTTCAGCTGCTCCACGAGCGCAGGAAATGTTCACCAAGGGGCGCAGAGCAGCATCCATTCCAGAAAAAGAGCTAAAATACGAGTGAGACTGCATGCCTGAGTACATGAGTACATGTATGAGTACATGCAGAAAATAGTCAATTTCAGCGCTTCTGCTCCAAACAGCAACTAGCTTCGACTAGAAACAAAGATTGCACCAAAGGATCAAACAACAACCATTTTCTGCAGTTTTTTTGCAGATGGCTTCCTTGTGCTTGGCCCAGCACGCAAAAAATCACACCTCGGAGGAGTACAAAAATTACAACTCTCAGATGTCCTCGATTGCTGGCCATGGCCATTTTTTTCTGCCAGGCATAAGTTGAATCAAAAGTTCATAACACCTAAGAGTGTGCAACTGGCAATCACCCAGCACACGGCGAAATTCCTACATTACGTCATGCGCAACTTGTCATCGGATCTAAATTTGGGCTCTTTGAAATTCCTGGAAACGATACCCGGAACCGCTGCTAACTCAAGGCTGTAGCCTCGTCATTTCGAAGCATTTTTGAAGACATTTCGGACGTACAAGTTGTACTTTCTCAAAAACAAACCCTTTCTCCAAGAATCCATATGGACATCAATGACAGGAAGAAGTGAGGACGAAGACTTGAAGTGTAGCTTTGCCAACTGGCGAGGCAAAACACATTGCATTGCCGCCGAGGATAAACATTCTGATAGCTGCGAAACTCCACCGAGAAACACTCCTTCGACGCATTCTCAATTCCCTCAATCTTTAAAATTATGTTCGAGGAAAGCACGGAAATATGCCGAGGGCCAGGGGAAAATCAGTTTTAAAGAGAGTGGGTGCACTGCCGTGGCGAAAGCACAAGGCGATGAAGAGTCGACGTTCTGGGCATTGGCATCGGAAAAACAGTTCTATCTTTTAGTTATTTGAGGTTCGTGCGCTTTGTTTTACTTCTTGTTGGGGATCACATCAAGTCGCAGTTTAGGCAGTCTACCCTGAGGAAGCATCTCGGTTTGACCTCACATTTTAGAAGAATTCATGGGCATGACTAATCGCACTGCACCAAAAATGACGTACTGAAGGACGTCCGACAAGCGGACTTCCATACAGGGACGCGTCAGGAGTTGCACCCTTTTGGGGGTTATGAACTCTTAGTTGCACCTTTTGCTGTTGTTGCTGTAGGCCACTGCTTTGCAGTGGACTGCCCATTGAATGATGCATGCCTTCCCCTCATCCTTCTTGGCCCAGACGTACTGCGATAGGAGAGTGTCCTTCTCGTGTTGTCTGTGGCGGGATGATGATTGCTGCCGGGAACCTCTCTGTTTTAGCAGCCTCAGGTCTACTTACACTAAACCATCCATGCTGTACAAGATACTCTGTGCTGACTATTCCTATTTCCATCTCCTTTCCCATATTAATCAGAATCCATCAGGTATAGAAAAGCACATGCTCCAGTGGTTCTTGTCCACCCTTGACTGACTCTCTCTCTCTTTCTCTCTCTCTCTCTCTCTCTCTCTCTCTCTCTCTCTCTCTCTCTCTCTCTCTCTTTTTTGCTTAGTCTTCATTCTCCATGCCATATCCCTTTCTGTAATAATACTAGGAAACTATAACCTGTCTTTCTACGAGTTGAAAAGGAATTGTTTAACCCTTTGAGACCCCACTGAAAGTACAACAATTTACCCACCTTCAAATAACATGCACTTTCGCTCGTTTCTCTATGAAACATTCACCGATTTTTACAAACTAACCACTGTTGGAAAGGTATTTCCAAGACGAAGAGACTAGTACCTCACTCAAGCCAACTACCTGCACAGCGTCTGCTCTGCGTGGCCTATAATGCCGCCCAAAACAGCAGCCGTGCGCAAACAGCTTCAGCAAAGTTCAAACAGCCGCCATTCCATTCTCCTTCATCGCATCGACTTCAAACAAACTACAGCGGAAAGCTCGTTTCAAGCGCGACATTTTGGTGTGCAGCATGCTTGAGTATGACGTACCATTCCGGGGAAATATCCTGCCAAGTGCAGCATGAAAATTTGAATTTTTCGATCCGAGTGCATTTTTCAGTTTGTCTCCGACTTCGAGTCTCACCACGGCGGCATCGTAACTCCTAGAGACTTCGGATAACTTCGACGTGATAGCCAAGGGTCTTCTCGAAACGTAGATACTTTGTTTATGAAAAACGGTGAAGGAATACCAGAGATATAATTATTTTAGTGTCACTGTATACCAAACGATCGAATTCGATCGTTGGGATCTCAAAGGGTTAAGCGGGAGCAAACACAGTCAATTAATTCAAGTTTGGGGCTAAGGTGTACCATAAAAAGAATGGGGTGGCCATGGGCAGAAATCTTGCTCCCCCCTCCGCCCCCCCCCCCCCTTGCCATTTTGTATATGCACGCCCTGAAGAGCGTACCGAGGGGTCACCGATACTTTGACGGTATTCTGTGCACAAGCAGAATCCGTCCTCAAGGCGGGAAAGCAAGCACACACGGAGCGATGTCACATATCTTTGTGCTGAGCTACCGCCACTACAGCAACATGCATTTGTCAGGTCCTGCAGAGCTGCATTGTTCTCTACCACAGAAGGATTCTTTTCCGATTTCTGGTTTACAAATGCCAATAAATATTTCTGAAATCATCATTCTGTGAGAGACAGCCTTTGTCTGGTGAGAAGGCATCATTGCCTGTTCGCGTGATGAAGTAAAATACAGAGTACCATACCAATGATACCATACCACTTATGTCACAGCACTTATCCCTGGTGTGTTCCGCGAGGCTTGCTACCAGCTGTGTTCCCAACAGCTGCAAAGCTTTGTGAATGTCTGCTTTGCCATGAAATCTGTTGAAGTATGTTTTTTTTAGTCAAGCAAGCAACAGTCAACATTATGGCAAGCCGTGCGACTGTATACTGCTGGTCAATGAAGTCCGATAGCATGAGTCAAGTATGCGGGCACTGTGCAGCCTGATACATGCAAACACTGGGATATTTGCTGGTCCAGGGCGCAAACTTGACTCACGCAATCTGGTTTCATTGAGCAGCATTGCGCGTGGGTGGTACATGGGTGATATATGAAAGTCGCTCTCATGGGTAATCCAAATCTTGCCAATGTTTATGGCTGACAGGCACAACCTGCCATCATGAACAGTGCCTGCCAAGCTACTGGAGTGGGGAGTCATGGAAATACACCATCATGAATAGTGCAGTCATATTTCACTGCACAGTCCATTAGAAGGGCCACACTCCTCCACAATACCCCCCCCCCCCCCCATGGGCCCATACGCATTGACCAGGCCCGTGATGTTTACAAGACCACCACTGCAGAAGTGTGGTCCTACAGAGCCCCAACACTAAGCCTGGGCCAGAGCTGGGTTCATGTAAGCAATGCCAGCAGTCCGGGATAGTACAAGTGGGAACGCTTTTGAAAGTAATATCTACCACATCACTAGCAAACACCGGCCGAAATGTCTTTCTTACATGTGACTCGGCAAAGCCTACACTGGCCGAAGTTCTACCGCTACAAGCATGACACTTTTAGTGTATTTTGGACTGCTTCTATCTGTGTGCGTAGCCCCCAGACACACAAACAAGTACAAAAACATCTTCCAAATATTTGTTTGTGACCTCACGTACCGTTTTCCCGGCCCGCTCACTGCTTCTGCATCGCCTGTTCTTCTCGGCGAGACTCGACGTCACTCTGGCGTGCTGCATGTGCGCCGCGACGCCAGGGGAAGCACGCTTCCCTGCCGATAAGCCGAGGACACCGTTACTACTGACTTCTCGGAAACAAACAGCAAAGAAAACTCTCTTGTCCACGCCAAAAATACCAAAGATGAAAACCGCTTTCTCTGCAAGCACAAAAAACGACTGGTGCCTCAGTTTTGTGTGTACAAGAAAGTTCAGCGGTTGCTCTCTGAACTAGTGTGGCTTTCGCACTATGTAGACGCTGGCTTACAGTTCGATCTCACCTACACGCAGGCCAGGGCTTGTCTACACCGAGTCCGTTCTGGACTGTAGACAGTGCAGACTCTAGCACTGAGTAGCAGTGGCAGCCACTTCTCACTTGTGCGGAATCTGTTCTCCAGCAGCGCGCCATTCCGCTCGTGTTGGGGTGCAAGGCTGACTTGTAAACTCCACACACACGCATACACACAGCTTGCGCACCGGATCCAATAGACAGGGCCGAACAGACGTGCGAACAGCCACCCTCGTATGGCACACTGAACGTGTGCATGGCGCTTGCCTCCACATCATGCATTGTCTGCTTCCTACACGAAAGGATGCGAAAGGAAAGATCATTCTTCGAAAGTGCAAGCTTTGTAGCAGAGAGTTTATAAATCACACCATTTCGGATCCAAGCCCGCCAACCACGTTTGACCCGGATCAAATCCGGACGAACGAATGGGTAACACTACTAACAGCCTGGATATACTGCCAGCCGCCTTCCACAGTCTACTGTATCACTTGCTGGTAGCAGTCAACATTGGCATTGCGCTATTATATAACAAGGAACAGCGAACCAGACTCCATACTACTACTAACTTCCGCCTTTGCATAACTGTAGAGTGTATACCATGCATGGGATATGGATGTAGTGTAGATCTACCGCGGTTTGAGCCACTGAGTAGCAAAATACATTGTACCACTCCCTGCTTTGAGTTTGAGCCTTGGTAGAACTAGATGTACGTTGCTAGCTACAGACAGTAGAGAGGTGCTCGAAGTCCGTACATGGTATCCTAAGTTCGTACGCCCATAATTTCATGTTCTGCTATTGTATTCGACTCAAATATTCTATGGAGGGGACAGTGTGGTATGTTCTCCTCGCGTAGCAATTTTCAGGGATCTACGATAAGCAGAAGTCCCATACCACGCGAGTGGGTTTTCGAGTGTCCATACGAAATACAAATTGGGTTACATTTCATGCAAAAATCAACTTTGCCAAGACCGATTTCGAACGGACACAGCGTCAAACAGACCTTCACTCAATCATCAAGAGCCAGCTTAGAGCTGACAATGGCCAGAGGAGAAGAATTTACAGAGAACCACCAATCCTTGCAGAAAGGTTGACACTCCTGGCATCTCCACCACTGTTTTCCCGCGGTTTTCACAGCGCAGCTGCTTCTTCTCTGAGCCGACTAAAAACATCTTGCATTTCGGCAACAAACTACGCTTTTGCAAGAAATACTGGTGGAGGCACATCCCAAACATATCCCTTCGGTGCTTTCGTCGTAACCGAGGGATTGCAAGCTAGCAATTAGCAGAAATATGTGTGTATTTCGAGTCACCTCTGATCAGTACGGACTTAGAGTACCCTCTGCGACACAACAATTTGATATGAAAAATCAGCGAACTCCAGAGAAACAGATCGGATCGAAAGATGGCCTGGTTCAATCGAGCCTGGTCTCAGAACAAACTTGGACAAGATACCTTCCATCCACGAGCAGGATTCTGGCAAGTGATCATTGCTAGTGTGAGTTTCAGCTCGGCAAACACACACTGTAAAAGTGTACGGACTTCGAGCACCTGGCTACATTGTTTTTTTTTTTTTTTTTTTTTTTTTTTTTTTTACAAGTCTTTCATTTTTATTTTCAAAACTTTTGCATCCAGGTACGTACGTATGACGCGCGCATGACGAAATGTTTTTTTTTTCCAAGTTGTTTCACATTGTGATTTTGCATTTGAAAGCCCTATTTTATAATACCAGAAAAATAATAATATGTAGCGCAAAATAAAGAGAAGGAAAATAATAACCGGTCAAGCGCTAAATACAAACAGAAGAAAAAGAAATCATAAGCCAATACGCGCTAAACTGCGCTTAAATTATAATGAAGGGAGAAAAACTGGAATCCGCGGAAATTATAACATACAAAATGATACAGAGAAAAGGGGAAACAGACAGGTTGTCTACAGATGACACTCGGAGACAGCAAGTGTGGCAGAATATGCATGAGGGTCATACCTGCTCGACTTGTGGCGATGCCCACGAAGGCATGCCACGGCCGCCTTCACGAGAGCAAAGGACAGCTGGGCTCTGATCAAAGCCATTGCCACAGAGAAAGGCTCACCATTCTTCTCAGACTTGATGCCTGCAATGCGGCCAAAGAGAGTGGAGGCTGCCTTCCCTTGGCCACCAGTCGTACTGAACACCACGGGGATGAAGGAAGCGTGCTCAACGTTGAGAATGCGACTCTCATAACTCCTCCGTTTCTCCTCTTCGTGCTTTCTGTAGCTGCCAGCGATCGTTGGTTTCCGATTTGAGGGGGCAAATGGGTTGAAAACCCGGACATCTAGAAAGGTCCTCTCAAACCGTCCACCGTGTAGACCGCTGACAACTACATCCAGCCGAGCTTGTTCTGCCGTGATGGTGGACCGCAGCGGAAAGCGCTCACCGGTCACAGGCTGGAGGTGCGGCTCAACATGAACATCATGTGCGACGTCGCGTAGCAGTGCTGCTGTTAGGTCTCGGACCTCGTTGTGCCGTAACGAGGGATAACCACCGATGGCACATGACATGGCATGGGTGGTCGAGAATGGCTTTCCACACGCGCATGTTGCAGGTAAGCGATCAGGATCCCATCCATACCTGAGGCATATGGCATCGCGGAAGGCGCCCTTGTGCAGGGTGAAGCCATGCCTTCGCAATGGCCGACATGTCAGCCAACTTGAGGCGCCTTTCTCCGAGGCAAGCTGTAGGGTGCGTTGCAGGTCTGGCTCGAGTTCGGCCATCAGGGTGACGACATGGTCCTTCTCCTTCTTCCCAGCGGCTGTCCTAGCTGTTGCCTTCAGTACCCGCATCCGCCCTGAGATGCCTTCCATGGATGACTGCTGTTGGATGATGTTGTCAATGAGTGGATGGGTGATGGACAGAGAGCGCTGATGTTCATCGCTCAGCTGACTGGGGTTAACAATACCGAGACCACCGAGACGACACGGAAGGTCAAGCACAGCGCGGATCACCATCACCGCTACATTGTACAATCGCAATCCGTTATGTACGGGCTTGAAAGTGCTACGTCACAGCATAGCAATGGCATAGCAACAATTTGAAAATTCAAAAACTGGATCCACCTGGATCCAGTTTTTGTATGGATCCAAGCACATTTCAAGCGATCTTACTCACCGCAAGGTAATGTAGCCAGTGAAACTGACTAATTTGGCTAGTGGGGGCGGAGTGACAACCAGGGAGTCGTAAAAGCCCGGGAGAGGACACGGGATGCGCGCACGCGGACGATGTTTGCCTCGGCCAGAAAGTGAAGCACGCTAGGCCGGCGCGGCCTAGTATGCGCACATGTGCTTGTACTTTTGTGTGTGTTTGTACAGTGTTTGTGTGTGCGCGCGCGCGTGCGTGCGTGTGTGCGCATTTTTGTGCATGAAGTACAAATGATAGGTTTACCTTTTGTACACTCGCCAAGACTTCGGTTAGATTCACTGAGAACCTTTCTGGCCAACCTGGAGGCTGAGCTTTCCTTTTCCTAAACGGCTAAAGTCACCGCGTACTCAGTATACGAGTAGAAAAGTGTTGAAATTATCAAGATTTATAAATAACGACCTGCAACCATGTACAATGTAGATAGATAGGGAACACACATTGATTGTTTTTAAAAGAATCCAGGCAATATTATGAATCATGGAACGAGTGCGTAATAATGCTCTATGTTGCGTTTTGACGATGCTGAAGGAAGGGAGCCATTGCGATTCACTCACAACACACGCACAGAAGTCCACTCGACTGCAATTTCAGTGCAATTTCTGACACAAATTCATAACTCCACGAGTACGAGGAAGCTCAGCGGCTAACACGGGAAGTGGCTTCATTTTCCACAAATCTCGTTTCATTCACAACCATTTGGCGGCAATTTCAGTGCAATTTCTGCCACAGATTCAACTCCACGAGTACGAGGAAGCTCAGCGGATCTCCACAAGAACTTTCGCCCATCAACTGCAATGAAATATGGGCTGTATGATACGACCAGCGGCTAACACGGGAAGTGGCTTCATTTTCCACAAATCTCGTTTCATTCACACCCATTTTGCTGCAATTTCAGTGCAATTTCTGCCACAAATTCAACTCCACGAGTACGAGGAAGCTCAGCGGATCTCCACAAGAACTTTCGCCCATCAACTGCAATGAAATATGGGCTGTATGATACGACCAGCGGCTAACACGGGAAGTGGCTTCATTTTCCACAAATCTCGTTTCATTCACAACCATTTTGCTGCAATTTCAGTGCAATTTCTGCCACAAATTCAACTCCACGAGTACGAGGAAGCTCAGCGGATCTCCACAAGAACTTTCGCCCATCAACTGCAATGGAATATGGGCTGTATGATACGACCAGCGGCTAACACGGGAAGTGGCGTCATTTTCCACAAATCTTGTTTCATTCACAACCATTTGACTGCAATTCAGTGCAATTTCTGCCACAAATTCAACTCCACGAGTACGAGGAAGCTCAGCGGATCTCAACACGAACGTTCGCCCATCACCTGCAATGGAATATGGGCTGTATGATACGACCAACGACTAACACGGGAAGTGGCGTCACTTTCCACAAATCTCATTTCGTTCACCCCAACTCAAATAAAATTGAAGTACAATTAGGGATTTATCTTGCATTTCCATCGCCTCAGAATAAATTAACTTCGATAAACTGAGAGAGAATGAGTGAGGCAGCTGGAAGAATTGAGGATGAAAATAGAGATCAGAAGACTCGACGGAGCAATCGTCTCCGTGCTCTAAGAGAAATCGGAGAATGTCCCAATTAGTATTTCAAGAAGACATCACAATTTTCGAAAATAATAATTTCCTTGCCTCGCAACACCGTTCCCTGGCAGCGTTCCCCGGCAGCGCGAGGCAAAGATGTTTTCAGGGAATGTGTGCCGTGTCCTCTCCCGGGCTTTTACGACTCCCTGGTGACAACTGTTGGCGAAGTAAAAGTCGCACCTGCATACGACATGAGCGGGTTGCTATGGACCCACATACTGAGGCAATAGCAAAGTCACACCTTAGTGGATCCAAAATAGAAATCTGATGTCAACTTACTACTCCCAGGCCGTTTTTGACGTCATCACTTTCAAGCCCTCAAATCCAGTCGTGTCACTCGGGTAGGTCTCTACGCGCTGGGCATTCCGCAGCCGTAGACCTGCGAACACTGGCCTGCGAAACAGTGCAAGGCGCAAACTTGAGTGACACGACTGGATTTCAACACTTCGTAGTTTTGAGGTACTAGGCTAAGAAAACTGATAAGATTAGTATCGAATATTGACTGAGTACGAGGTCAATATACCGGTAGGAAATAAAAGCCGAGTAAAGGACCGAGCCGAAGCCGAGGTCTTTTACGAGGTTTTTTATATTTTCTATACCAAGTACGAAGTCAATATAAGATTGATAACGACAAACAGTCCGTGTTTCAAATTCCAGAACGATAACCTCATGAATCCCGGTTTTATGATTGCACAACCGTTGCACCATCACCTACTCATGCAGTGACCATGCTGTACTAGGCACCGTTCAACTGCGCAACCCACAAGCAGTCAAAATTATATAAGCAGTCAATATCGCCCCAAGGAGTGAAATATGCAGGAATATTTGACTGCTTAGGTATAGCGAAAATCAATGGGAGTCAATACTAGAGTGATAATGCACTGCACTAATAGTAATAGAGCAGACTGGTCAATGAAATCCAGTCGCGCCACTCAAGCTTGCGCCTTGCACCCGGATTTCTCCAGCCAGAACTGTACTGTAGTACTGTCACTGGTAGCACAACCATGTAGAGTCGTGGCCAAAGGAATCCGACCCTGGAGTCAAAAGTAGGGGCGCGTTTCCATGTCAATTACATCATGCATGTTCCCAAAACTGATCTTAGGGCCGCATTAGCCTTGGCGCTGCTTTCGGCACGTGCGTTGGATATCTTTGGCCACAGATGTACTACAGTAAAACTCCCCAGATCCGGGCAGGTTGGGACTGATGCCCGTAACTCAGCACATAAAATTTACTTCCTGAATGGAAGAAAACATTTAAATTTTTTGTAATGTTCTGAGTTGCGACAATTCTGTAAACCTCCGTTGCGCCTTTTGTGTGTAACATTGATTACAAAGCTGGGGCACAAGGTGGGGCACAAGTTATGCGTTAGAGTCCACCAACTATACCAGGTTTTGAACAGTCAGACGTGCACAAGGTAGCTCCAGACTGACAAGGAGTACCGAAACATTCCACAGCAAGGAAGTGAGCTTGAGCACTGCTCGTTAGCGCTAACCAACGGCCTTTCAAATTGGAAGGTTCATGGATATTGGTGATAGTTCCAAAGAGGGGAAGGTAAGCGCCACCAAGCCGAACACAAGCTACATTCCAAGGCAAGGTGGAATGCTGGCTTAGTACGACAACAGGACGGTAAGGCCATTCGACTATACGGTCTAACCACAATCCGACAACGCAAAACAACAACCGGCCAACTTGGGAGGCTCAATTTTTATCAAGGATAGAATCTGATGTTGAAAGGGAAGCGTCACGAGGACTAATTGTAACAAACCGAATGCCGATATCCTACAGTACTGTACTTGGTTAGTGACTATGAAGTAGGGTGGTTCTACCTGTATAAAAACAGCCTTTGGCTATGGTAAAAATTATCTTTGATTCTCAGTACGCGCGCACCGATTTTTGGCGGTGCTCCGACGATTTTTTTATTTCTATGCATGCATATGCGCGCATGAAAACGGTCAATGCGAAAGGCATGAATCCGGGAGTAGAAAAATACCGGTATTTTTCTACTCCCTGGCCTGAATAATAAAATAATTATATGAACCTGTGACGTACATATGTGTGACCCTATCTTTGGAAATAAAAAAATGAGGGAAATAAAATAAAATAAATCGCTCGCTCGCACCGATTTTCACAGGCTCATGACCTCAGAATCAACTCTTTTTTTTTACCATGACCATACAGTGACTTTTAAAAAGTAATACGCCCTATCACCACATGTGCAGGAATTCATTACTTGAAGCATGTGCAGGAACTCATTACTTGAAGCATGTGCAGGAATTCATTACTTGAAGCATGTGCAGGAATTCAATACTTGAAGCATGTGAAAAGGAGAAATGCCTGTTCTATTGGTAAAGGTAACGTTAGAAAAGAAAGCCTTGCGTATCACTTTAGGCACATTCATCCAACTCACTTTGTCGAAGGATTTTATCCACTTGGCCTAGAACTCAGCACTGAGTGCAGCTGAATGCATTGAAAGTGCTAAAATATTCAAAAAGCAAAGGTTTTAAATGGGAAGTATTCCCTTGGAGGCGATTTGCAAAAGGGCTAAAGCCACAGGAGTAGAGGTTAGACGAATGCAATACAACGTGCCAGCGTTTGTGAAGATCCAACCTAAAGTAAAACCATTTACCTGAACTGTTGCTGGTGACGACAGAAAAATGGTTGGTTGCAGTAGAGCAACTTGCTGCAAGTTCTCATAGCACTCTATAAATTACTGGCCTCTTGTCTATCCCAAAAAACTTAAAATTTAAAATATTCAATGCACAACAGGAATTGAGGAATTATAATTATTTCGTAGAGAGTGTTGGGGTTATGGTGTGTGTCTGCAGTGTAGTCATAGTATGTTGCTGCACGTTGTCAGTGGTGCATTGTATCCGGGCCGCAATATGCTACAGTGCATGTGCGCAACGCTTAGCTGGATGTTATCAATTCAGGCTAGCAGTCTTCAGAAACGATACAATCGCCGAGAGTGGTCTCATACACTACATCATCTCCCAGAGGCTCATCGGTCACGACAGCTTTGGGTTGGTTGGACGGCATTTCTGAAACATCAGCATAAACCGGGTCACTTTCTTCCACCAGCCCAACTGTTTCATATGCCCCATCATCCATTTTCACGGGATTCGAGGAACATGGCAGTACCACTGCCCCGTACGCGTCATTGCTGGTGAGTAGAGCCTTTTCAACTTGAGGAGTTGGTTCACTTCCCTTCATGATTTCTGCGGTGTTCGGTTTGTCCATGGAAGCGAGTGGAATTCTCGGTGAATCTGATTCCCTGGGTATATAACTGGCCTTGTTACGGCGCTTCCATGCAATAATGACGATGAGAGCTAGGACAGTGAGAACAAGAAACGATGATAGGATTCCAATTGTTATGGTTGTGGTAGCGCTGGTTCCTTGTTGTTGTTGCTGATCTACCACAAAACAGAGAAAGAGCAGGGCAAAAGGATGAAGATTGCAAGAAATGAACTGTGTTACTTTTGTTGAGTTCGAAACAGGACGACTGACGACACATTATCCAGACATGACAACGGGAACAGGTAGGTTGGGGAAACGACATTTATTATAGACGACGAGACAAGAGACCAAGACGAACGAAACGACTACATTGAAGAGTGAGAAAAGAGAGGAAGAGATCAAGTCTGAACGGCAAGATAAAGGGCCTGGGTAGCTATGGCAAATATGGGCGCGCAAGTAGCTATCCAGGCCAACGGAACAAAAGGAGACAAAAGGTGAGTACGCAAGTGCATGCAGGCCAGCTAGAAAAGGTACGGGAGGAGGTACCTAACACTTTTAAAAAGTTCTTCCACCTCTAACCTCAGCTGCCACGCTATCATCCAGATAGCGCTGGTAGTCCTTAAAGTTTCATTCATTGTTTGCTTGTGAAATGCCAATTGAAACTATCTGCCATTCGAGCTCTTTTCCTATACCTAGTGGGCAATTCACACGACAGGCAAATCCATGTGCACCGGACCGTTGCTATGGTATTGCCCCAGTGAACGAGAAAAGTGACAGAAAGTGGCTGAAAAGTGCAAACGAGCTGGGGGCCCACTTTTACGATAGTTGTGGCGTGCTCGAGCACATTTACACCAGAAAGCGCGAAACAAGACTTGATTTTTTACGCAGCTCTTTTCACCATGATAATTATTGTATGTGTGTTTTGAAATTTGAAATACCCATGGCGACTGATGGGTGAATCATTCAAAATTCAAATGTGCCTGTTGTAGAGTGCAGACTTTGGAATCCACACAGTCCCTTTTTCTCGTTAATTACAAGTAAAATGTGCAAGTGCCTGTAGTGCGAATCGCCTATAAGGCAGTGGCTGCGTTTGGTCAACAACACGCTGTTTGGAAAATGCCTATCTACCACCCATAATACCAGTTACACTGTACATGGTCTGGTAAGATCTTCAGGACCACCGTAAGAATTAAAAAAAAACCCAAGTCTTACCAGTTTCCAATGTCCTGACTGTGTAGGAAGGAGACAGTGGACTTCTTCGTCCATTGGTGTTGTTGACAAAAACTACCAGGCTGAATAAACTATCACCTTGCAGACCAAGCAATGTTATTCTTGGCATTTTGCTGCACGTTGTTCTGGTTTCACCTTGGCTGGATGTACCAAAAGTAGTCAGCGTGGCTTGAATGCAGAATCGCGATACCCTGAAGTTTCCTTGTTCCACCCAGACTTGCCCAGTGATTGTTGCTGAAGTCGAAGAAAAGTTGGCAGTGGGTTGTCCAGGAACTGTGAGCACAAGAAATACCGGACCAAGTGAACTATCAAAACATGTGAGTACTTGTACTCTGAGTTTCTGGAAGGCTGTCAAATGAATGAGGTTAACCCTTTAAGAGCCGCCCCCGTACTTGAATGCGTCGTAAACAACGCATTCAAATGCAAAACTTCAAAAGATCGTACCTCAGTCCAATCTCAAATCCAGTGATCAAAGTATCCAGGACGAAGAGAAAAGTCTCACCTGTCGGGAGAAACAATCCACGAAGCGCTGCGAGCAACGGCTCCTGAGATAAATCACTCGTAAGTCGAGCCGCGATCGTGGCAATTTCAAAAGCGCTCAGTGCGACTTTAGTATTGAGAATTTTAAGACTTTTTGTCACCCTAGTTTACTCGAATTTGCACGGGCTTCACTGTTGATATTGTCAAGAGTACACAGCGAAAAATTTGGAACTCCGCCATCGAGTAAAATGAATTATCTGGAGCGGGACGGGACGCATTTGGGGCATTTTTCGTACTGTCCCTGCGATCTAGCGCTGGATAGACTGTGTGCTGGCTATCATGATCGACCTCATTCTCTTCCTCTCGCGGAGACCTTTCCAGGAAGCCCTAGATTTTGAGGATTGAGTGAGAAGAACTGAAGCTATGATCCAAGGAACACGAAAAGATGCAGAATTTTGAAAATTTTCCTGTGGCTCTTAAAGGGTTAATAAAGATGTGACAATACCCCCAAAGTTATTGAGCTGCCATTCACATACACACACACACCTTGAACCTAGAAACTGCCATCTAAAGGTGATGCAGTGCCTCAATGCACACACACGCACGCACGCACGCTTGCTCACACATACACACACACCCACACCCACACACACACACGCACAAACTCGTCAATCTTAGATATACAAGTAATCATCGGTTCAATATTATAATTATTACCATCGAATATGAAAGCTAATGCAGTCAACAACAATAGTTTGAAATAGGGATCTCTGAATTTTGTACTTCATAACCTAGTATGGCGGGACGCTAACACTGGCCGTCCCGAAATTACTTGTAATGCGTACACTACGGAAGTAAACTAAATATAACAGTCCCACCCGGGTACCCTCCCTAATAAGATCTATAATGCGCTGAAAAAAGGGTGAAGAAGAAGCTAGAGTTCCCGCGTTTGAGCTGATGGATCACGTGTGGAGCAGTTTTCCTTACGAAAATTTGTTTGTCAAATTTTAGTAAAACTGCGTTTTGAAAATGCTATCTCGAGCAAAGGAAAACCCGATTTCGGGTTGGTATACAAAGTATCAAAAATAAAGTGTAACTGATCACACAGGTCAACACTAACATCTGTGTTCTTCCAGCAGGATAAATTCATTTGAAACTCTCCACATCTCAACACTGCGCTCTTGGCCCACATTCACCACACAATATCGAGGACGTTTGTTATGCAACTGTATTGATACAGGGTTGCTCTAGGGTTGTAGGTGGCTTGAAATTGAACACGGGCAGCTATGTAGAGGAAGCAGTTACATCAGTTGTGACTTTTCAGCTCCGTAGTGTTTGACAGCCCAGCCGGCAACAGGCCGGTCTGGAAGTAGGGCAGTAGTATTAGTGGCAGTGTAGGGTAGCATAGTGTAGTAGGGTAGCGTAGTGTAGGGATGTAGGTAGGTAAAGCAGTCAGGGAGAACTTCTTCGCCATGGGCGAGCTTGCAGGAGAGCCTGCGATGAAACTTCTCTGCTCCCTCCCGGGTATAGAGCACACTCTGCTCAGCGTGCTGCAGACCCTGACTTTTCATGTCAGCGAGTCGAGGGATCGTGAGTCGCGTCTCCATCAGCGTGTGGACGACCTCTCCGCGCAGCTCCTAGGCCTCCATGAGGAATTTTGTTCCCTGCAGAAATCCGCCATTGTTCCTGACAAGGCCACTGCACGATCTTCTCAGTACCAAGCCCAAGGCGAAAAATCTCGTACCCGTACGAAACCTCCCCAGCTTGACCCAGCAGCAAACCAGCTTGATGCAGCCGATGCAGATGATGGACAACAGTCAGGGCAGGCCGACGTGACCTCTGGCTCTGCACAGCACGAAACCCGTACCCGTACGGACGACCCCGGCTTGGTCAATCCTGAGCCTGTGCAATCAAACTGCGAGAAGAGCCAACCTATCCTGGCCGTCATCAAGGATGACAGTTGGAAATTAGTTGCCGTGGGCCCGCCAAGAAAGAAGCGATCGGTGTTCTTTGTGGGCAACTTGAGCCCCGACTGAACGGTGGACAGCCTCACTGAGTTTGTACACCGTAGGTCGGAAAGCGTGGGCCATGGGGACGCCTGTCAAAGCCCACCAATGCAGCCTAAACACAGCCGGAAATGGGCAAGTGTCCGCCAGGATATCAGTTGATGCCACTTCCAAGCTGACAGTGATGTCAGCCAATTTCTGGCCAAGGCCGCTCTACTGCAGGCCGTGGAGATTCCACACCTCCACAAATGCAAATGCGGCCAAAATTCAGCATCAGCAGCAGCAAAAGCAGCAGCCACAACAAGCACAAGAACAGAAGCAGCAGCAACAATGACAACAACAACACCAGCAGCAGCACCAGCAGTCGCCGCAGCAGCAGCTCCAGCAGTCCCCGCAGCAGCACCAGTGGTCACCGCAGCAGCAACAGCAGTCGCCGCAGCAGCAGTAGCGACAGTAGCACCACCCAGCTGGAAGCTTAGCAGCATGATCAATAGCAACAGCAATTTGGGATTGGCGCCACAATTAACGACTTCCTGAGCGCGAGTCGTGGCCTGTCCGCTGCAGCTGCCGGCACACCTGTAACCCCCTTCTGAGCCACAAACGTTCCTCTGCGGAACGGTCACGAGATTCGCTGTCGCAGGATGCAAAGCGAGCTGCCCAGCATGGTGCGCAGCCACCCCTGCAGGATACACAGACCCACGAGCCCACCACCCAATGTAGGTCATGCACCAACCCAAACAGCGCCAACGGTCACAATGAAAACTAAGGCCCCCTCACTCTGTCTCCTGGTCACGAATGCATTCAGCATCTACAACAAAATGAATGAGCTTCAGCATACTCTGAAAAGCCTGCATGTAGACATCGCTGTCGTCACCGAGACCAAACTATCGCCCGACAAGGCTACAGTTGCGGAAGTCTCAATCCCTGGCTATTACCTCCCCCCCCCCCCCAATACGTCGAGACCGGACAGCGCAAGGCGGCAGAGTCGCCATATGGCTGAAAGAAGGGATGGCGTACAAACAACTGGACATCAGCTCTGAGTGTGAAACTCTTTGGATTAGTGTTGCTGCACCGTCAGGCATGAAATTTGGCATCTGTGCTGCCTACAGACCTCGGACGAGTGCAGACAGCGACTGCAGTATCTTCACCCAGCTGGAATCTGGCATCGACAAAGCCCGGCAGTTCTGCTCACACATTATTGTGGCAGGTGACTTCAATGCCCACAACCGGTAATGGCTTGGAAGTCCACACACCTCGGCTGCTGGAGAAGCTGCAGAAGACATGTGCTGTGTACATGGTCTCCGACAACACGTCACCTCAGCCACTCGTGGGGAAAATATTCTTGACCTCGTCATGTCGGATGTGCCTGGAACTGTGTCTACCACCACCCAACCACCTCTTGGCAGATCAGACCATGATGTTGTCATAGCCAACTTCCAGCTTACTGCATCTGTAGACCAACCCACCACTCGTACAGTATGGCGATACCAGCGGACTGACTGGCCCCGCCTCTCTTCCTTCCTCCGGACTACTGACTGGGACACAATAATCGGCGACGACCCTAACATATCATGTGAGCTTCTGACCAAGCGAATCACTGAGGGAATGCAGCGCTTTAGACCATCCAAGGTCTTCAAGACCAGACCGCAGGACCCAATCTGGTGGACACCAGAATGGTTGGTTGGTTGGATTTATTTAAAGTCGTACAACAAACAGGCATATCTGCCTCCTTATATGAAGACGACTTCTGGCAGTAAAACATTTTAAAGAAAAGAGAAAGGAAAAAGAAAAGAAGAAGAAGAAGAAGAGAAGATCAAGAATGCATCCTGAGCATACAGCTAGCCGGAGACTGAGCACAGCTAGCCTCGGCATGCATCAGAGCATCAGGATTACTACATACTACTAGTACTATTCAAGATAGGGGAGGGGGTTGCTGTCATGCTACAGTAAGACAATACGCGTGCAACACACCCTTGAACTGGAGGGGGGCGTGATGTTTCTCGCATCAGGTGGAAGACTGTTCCAAACGCGTGCAGCAGAAAGAGACACGGGATGAGTTCTGGATGGAAGCTGCAGCAGATGTTGTTGGGAGCCGCGCGTTTGGCCAGCCCTAGTCGAAGTGACGAAATCTCCAAATAATGCGCTGATCAGCGGCTGCTCCATGGTGGAATGTAAGCACCGGTAGACCAGCGAGCACACTGTTTCACGCAAGAGCTGGTGTACACGAAGCAGGTTGTGTTCCGCATACACGGGAGTCATACGGGTACGGGAGGTAAGGAATGCTCTGCAGCAGGTGACAGAAAGCGCAATGCCTGGCGGAAATTCCGCGATGACCCCAGAAATGGAGCGCTCAAGTGTACATACAAGCTAGCATTCCTTGACTCAACAAGATGTCTAGCAAGAGCCAAAGCCAGACATCTCGACCATGTCAAGCAATGGCTCCGAACGGGCAGCCTGCAGGACAGAGAGTGGTGGAGCGTGATTAAACGAGTTGGAGGGCATGGCCGGGACAGCTCCATCCCAGTCCTGGTTGACCCCGATGGCATGGCATGCACCAAAAGCCATGACAAGGCTAACGTCATCGGGAAGTACTTTGCCCAGAAGTGCAGCCTAGACGATGACTCTGCAGAACAGTTGGGGCCATTCCCGCATGTCCGCCGGCGCACCGCAAATACGCTTGCAACAGTCCACTTCCGCCAAGCCACCGTAAGCCGGACACTCCGAGCCCTGAATCCAAGTAAAGCCACAGGGCCGATGCAGTACCTGCTAGAGTGCTGAGAAAATGTTTCGACTCTCTGGCCCTGCCTCTATCCAAGCTGTTTACCCTGTGCTTCTGCAGTGGTCATCAACTTGCCATGTGGAAAGTTGCCAACGTCGAACCGGTACACAAGAAAGGCCCCAAGTCGAACCCCAGAAACTACCGACCGATATCACTACTGCCCATAATGTCTAAGTGTATGGAGTCCATCGTGAACCGCAGCCTGTCCAACTTCCTGAAGAAGAATGACATCCTTTCTCACAGGCAGTTTGGCTTTCGCACTGGACTGGGAACCTCTGATCTGCTGATTGCTCTTCAGCATGAGTGGAGCCTTGCAGCTGCCGGTGGAGGCCTTGTCAGGGTCCTCGCAGTAGATATTGCCGGGGCCTTCGACAAGGTCTCACACAACGGCGTCCTCCACAAGGCTGAGCTGTGCGGCATAAGTGGCCCCCTCCTTGCCTGGCTCCTGAATTACCTGACAGACCGCCACATCCGTGTCGTCATAGGTGGCCAGTCTTCACGGATCCACCAAATCCAATCTGGCGTGCCACAGGGCAGCATCCTCGGCCCCACCCTCTTCCTTCTGTAAGTCAACGACGCAGAAGACCACCTGCCTGATAGGGCGAAGCTGGCTGTATACGCCGACGACACAACTCTCTACAAGTGCATCACCACCCGACTCAGACTGCCAGAAGAGAAAGCAATCCTCCAGCAGGCAGTAGACTCACTGGCAGCATGGGGAAGCAGGTGGAGGATCAAGTTCGAGCCCACAAAGTCGCAGGCATTGACCATCAGCCACCACCGCTCGCCAACCCCCCGAACGCAATACGCTTCCAAGGAGCAGTCGTGCCAGAAGTAGAGGAGCTAAAGCTTCTTGGCGTCACCTTCGACAGGCAGCTGGCATTCCGCAGCCATATCCGACAGCTTGCAGTACGCGGAGCCCAGCGGCTCTGCTTCCTCCGTAAGGCATCGGCTGTGCTGGACCCAAAGAACCGGGCAATCGTGTACCGTGGCTTTGTCCGCCCTGTATTAGAGTACGGCATGCTGGTGTGGATGAGCGCAGCCCCCACCATCTTGGCCCGCCTCACTGCCATCCAGCGCCGTGCCCTGCACATAATTGGAGATGGATCATACCTCCCGAGCCTCGACATTCGCCGTACCGTAGCAGGGCTCTGCTTTCTGTACAAGCTGAACTTTGTGGAGGGTCCGGAAATGGTGAAAGCCATTCTGCCACCATCAGCAGCCGCACCGCAATGCCGCATGTCTACTCGTGAGACAACCAGATCTGCAACACATCATCCATCGCAACTCACCAGTATTCTTCCTCCCCAGGCACGAAACAACACGCTCTGCTCATTTCCCCACTCCCTCATCGCAATGTGGAATCAGCTCCCACCTACCCTTCTGCAGTCTCTCCCTTCTCGCAGAGGTATGCACACGTTCAAGAAAAACATCAACGACCACTTGCGGCGCAGCAAGTGGGAGTGGGCCACAGACAGGCTATGATCTCTGCAAACACACCAGCCTAATTATACTGACCGCACTCCAGCTCCCTTCTACCCCTCTTTGATCCCCTTCGCTCACCCTTAAAATCCGATTATCAGTTCACTCCATCTTCCTACGGTGCACTGCTTTTACTATTGTTTTGTCCTATCCCAATCTCAAATTCTCCCCATTATCGTTTGCAAAGCCGGTGCTCCCCTCTTGGATGCACATGTTTCTTTTCTCCTATGTATCGGCGCACAGGAGTAACGATGATTCTGAGACCTTTGGTCGGAGGAGTTACTTTTGCCCCGCCCCCACTTCCATCCAATATGCCACCGCCTCCGCTGTGCAGCATCTGATAATACTGTGGTATTCAGTAAAAAAAAAAAGAAAAAAAAAAGAAGCCCAGTATCATCAGCATAGCCGAACCAAGGAACATGACCCATGCCACAGTCAAGAGTTCATCCGTAGAAGTCGGTAGCCATCAGCCAGTGTTGGTGCGTGAGGTACTTCTTTGAACGTGTGGAGCCGCTTCAAGCTGAGTGGAGCCCTTACAATTTCGCTTGGCAAGTTGTTCCATGCTGAGATGACAGAAAACGGGAAGGAGCGAGAAACATAGGCAGGTGCTCTCCAGGACTTGCTGCAGCTGCACATGGTGCTGCTGGCTAGGAGGGGGATGACTCCGGGTGCGCCGAGCTTCTACATGGTTGGCTGGAGGGGGGATCATGGCGGTGAGCTGGGGTGGTCCTGGGATGCACTGGAGCTTGTACAGGTATACCAGCCCAGATACAATTCGGCGGTGGCACAGGCTTTGGAGAAGGGCACCAGGGCCAATAATGGCCATTGCACGTTTCTGCACACGGTCGAGTCGGGCGAGGTGGCTGGATGCAGCTCCCATCCACACAAGGGGAGCATACTCAAGGATAGGTCGCACAAATCCCTTGTACGCACAAAGCCGGCCATGGTAATCTAACACACGGCAAGCCGACGGAGAACACCCAGTCTCTGGCAGCCACGTGTCGCAATCGAGTGCAAGTGATCCCGGAATGACAGCTTGGCGTCAAATGTCACTCCAAGAAGCTTGATGGTGTTGGCTTCCGGAACCGCGATACCTCCAAACTTGATGTCAGGGACAGCAGGGTGTGTGGCTTTCGTAGTCATCAGCAGCTGTTGCGATTAAGAGGGCTCGAATCTGATGCGCCAGCGTTCTCCCCACTCTTCAAGACGCTTGAGGCTGGATTGCAAGGCGGCAGTCATGTCATTCATATTGTCCTGCGTGCGGATGAGGCTGTAGAGGGTTGTTTCGTCTGCAAAAGAACTTAGTCGCGTCTCGGGAGACAAGCACTGATCCAGGTCAGACACATACAAGAGGAAAAGTGTCGGGCCAAGGATACTGCCTTGGGGCACACCTGCTGTTATGGGCGCCGGGGAGGCTGAGTCGCCGTGGACCAGGACTGATAGTCTGCGGTACAGGAGGTAATCCTGCAGCCAGTGCAGCAGGCAGCCACCAATGCCAACGTTCTTGGCTTTGAAAATCAGTCCAGAGTGTGATACCCGATCAAATGCTCCTGCTATGTCCACCGCCACCATGTGAACGTACCCTCCATCGCTGACAGTCTTGACTCACGCAGTGTGCAAAGCAGGGAGGATGTCGCACGTACCTCTTCCTTGCCGAAAGCCATATTGATTGTCGGGCAGAATATTGAAACGCTCTAGATAATTCACGAGCTGCTTGTTTACTATACTCTCCATTACTTTTGACAGGATGGATAGTAGTGAGACTGGCCGGTAATTTTTGGGATCCGAGCGGGGCTCTCCTTGAAGACTGGAACCACATGGGCCAGCTTCCATTTGGTAGGCTGAACACCGTGGCGAAAGCAGAGTGAGAACAGTTTGGTGACTGGTTCTGCACGCTCACTGGAACACTGAGCTAGGACTCTTGCTGGAATATTGTCAGGTCCTGTTGCCTTCGATGTATTAAGCTTGGCTAGACGGCGGCGTACATCAGCAAGCCGGAAATGGATGCGGTCAAGACTTCTACCCCTCTTTGATCCCCTTCGCTCAGCCTTAATATTCGATTATCAGTTCTCTCCATCTTTCTATGGTGCACTGGTTTTACTATTGTTTTTTCCTATCTCGATCTCAAATTCTCCCCATTATCGTTTGCAAAGCCAGTGCTTCCCTCTTGGATGCACATGTTTCTTTCCTCTCATGTATCGGTGCACAGGAGTAACGATGATTCCGAGACCTTTGGTCGGAGGAGTTACTTTTGCCCCGCCCCCATTTCCATCCAATATGCCACCGCCCCCGCTGTGCAGCATCTGATGGTTCTGTGGTATTCAGTAAAAAAATAAAAAAATAAAAAAGCTGGGTTAGGACCATTGAAAGTGGCATAGGTAAGTATAACTCCACACATGCAATAAAGCATGTTTATGTACTGCAGGTTTATTGCCATTTGTGTGCAACTGCATGCAGGAATGTACGGGAAAACTACTATAGTGTAGTACTCTTTACTCTTTACTACCTGCATCAAGGTTATACCCAGAACCAAAGTGAAGGGGGAGGGGGGGGGGATCATCGGACCCAAATGTTTGTGATATTACCGCCATTTTTGGCCGCAAGGTTCACCGACACCAGCACTAGTAGGCAAGTGACCAATTTCCATTCCACGTATTCATTTACTTGCAACTGGAACCTGCCATAAGTATGGATTTCAGAGGTAATTGATGATCACGTGAGTGCACCTTCATCATGTGTACTCATATTATTGCAAAGAAAGGTGGCGTTCGCACTCTAAAGGGTGGAGCGTTCATTTCGAAAGGGGGCTTTACTAAAGTTTTATAGCACTGGTGACGTTTCTCAATATCCCCAGACTCCACTGTAGCCATCCACTATATCCATACTTCTTCACAACACTCTCCAAACGTCTCTGGGCTACGCCAATCACTGGAAAAGAATATAATCAAATCATTCAAAAAGGCCAATTTTGTGACGTGGCGAAATAATACCCCGCTGGTCAAGTTTGGGAATAGTCACCTGAGACAATGTGTGTGTGAGACAATGTGTGTGTGTGTGTGTGTGTGCATGTGCGTGGCTTACTCGATTCATCTGTTCGTTGTGGTACCGGGCTGCCAAATGGACCAGGTGCAGCCTCTGTCACAGCCCTCACAGACAGGTTGTACACAGTGTTGATCTCAAGCTGGGTGATAGTCAGACTGGTCTCGTTGCTTGTCACATTGAACACCTGTGAGTAGTTTGCAGGGCTGACAATCATGATGTCATAGCGTACCAACACACCGTTTAGATCTTGCTGCGTGAGCTGTCGCCAGGCCAGCTGCAGAGATGTGCTGCTCAAGTAGGATGTGTTGGTCACGGTTGGTCCAATGCTTGGCGCTGCAGATGATGTATGAACAGTCGGGATAGTGAAATTGGGATACAGTACTTCCGTAATTGACCATGTTGTGATGGGTCTGCTCTACTCACACGCCACCGCTAGGTGGTGGTGTGTTCAAAGGTGCGGAAAGTCCAACTGAGCGACTTTCTCCAAACCGTCAATTTATGAGAAATATGTAAGGCAAGGTTATACTGAAGGTATCGTACTGCTCTGCATGAACTGATTATTAAAATAGTGAACTTAACAGCCCTCCATTTCCAAGGCCTTCACATCGTACAGTGTTCAGACATAGAGAAGGGAATGCATTGTTCAACAAATGAACAAGTGAATTGTTGACAGTTTTACGGACTGTTCTAATATTCTCTGTGTTGCCTATTCTGCAGTTGCATTCGTATAAGCACCTCATTGACCCCGCCCGTTCCTCATTCTCCTTTCCAATTGGCTAAAGCTTGCTTGGTAAATGTCAACGCAAAAGGGCCAGTCAGTCAGTGTCGTGCAATGTTATTGCATGAGCTGATTGTGTAGTAACTGGTGGTGCTAGTGGAAATAATGATAATAATGATAATAATTCAAAGGATCAGTTGGGTAAGTGAACTGCCTGAAAAGAGAAAAAAACACCAGACCCACCAGGACTCGAATCCGGGACCTTGCTTGTCATGAGAAATGCTCTAACCACTGAGCTATGGGACCAAGCTGACCCTAGAAGGCGCTGAAAAGTTGTTCACTCCAAAGCCAGCTCACAACACATGACAAGCAAGGTCCCAGGTGCGAGTCCTGGTGAGGCTGGCGTTCCTTTTCTCTTTTCAGGCAGTTCACTTCCCTGACTGATCCTTTGAATTTGAAGTTCTCCAAATCGATCTCTTGTTCACACTCTTCATGGCTGTAGTCAAGACATTGGCATGCAGTTTGGTGTGGCAAAAATGCGCGACCGTTGTACTAAAGGCAGGAAAGCATGAAGCCTCTGAGGAGAGCCTATTGCCTGACCGTACATCTATCAGGTCGCTGCAGCCAGAAGAAACATACAAATACCTCGGAGTCCTTGAAGCAAGGGGTATGGAGTGGAAGCAAGTTTTTGAGCTCCGCAGTTTTTAGTTTCCACGGCTTCCTGGCAGCCCTTCGGCGTGCCCAAGAGGACCAGTACTAGTAGTAAGTATAGATTAGTAGTAGGGCTGACCCACCTCTGGCCGCCATGCCCCCAACTACAAAGACCGCCCTCAAGGGGCTCTCAGAAGCAGAGATGAAACTGTTGTGCTCCCTTCCGGGTATCGAGTCGTCTGTGCTGGAAGTAATCAAGACCCTGGCTAACCTAGCGTCCTAGTCGGCCGATCGTGAGGCTCGCTTCAACAAAAGGATTGATGAGCTGTCGCGGCAGGTGTCCGGCCTGACTAAGGAGGTTGTACCCCTCAAAGAAGCCGCCATTGCCAAGGCAAGTGTTCCTCCGAAATGTCAAGCTACTCAGCAGAGCCAGCGTACGCGTGTGAAATGGTCCAGAAATCGTACCCGTACCCACCAAGGCCAGGCTACCGGGTGCACTAGCAGTAGTAGTACGTTTGAGCCCCGTAGCGTGGGTGACACAGGCAGTGGCCCAGAGGTGCAGAGTGACGAAGACATGCAGCACGATGGACAGAACAGCACAAGCGTGGAACTTGAGTAGTACGGCGAGGAGTTCCAGCCTCTAGACGTCATTTCCGACGATAGTTGGCAGCTAGTGTCATCAGAGCCACCCAGACCCAATAAATCTGTCCTGTATGTCGGTAACCTGAGTGAGTCATGCACTGACGATGACATCAAAGCTTTCACCCTGAAAAGGTCAGGCAGAGCCGGGACTCCAGCTACTGTCCATAACTGCAGCATCCACAAGGCTGAAAATGGCAAGATATCTGCAAGGATCACTGTGGATGCCACTGCCCTCGCACTCATCACCTCACCAAACTTCTGGCCAAGACCACTTTATGCCAGACCGTGGAAGTTTAGGCAACGTTCAGTTGAGCCTGATCGTGACGACTTGCCTCGCAGCCCGGGAGTCTACACGGAGCAGTCCGGCTTGGCAGAATGACTACTGCAAGTCTCCGGCTGCTAGTCACAACCGCCTTTGGGCTGCTGTCCAAACTCGGCGAGTTCCAAAACAATCTGAGTTCAACTAAGCCTGATATAGCGATCATCACAGAAACGAAATTCACGCCGGACAAGGTTCCCCTCGCCATGTCAACTATTCCTGGCTATGCAGCACCTATTCGCCAAGACCGAACTGCTTCAGGCGGGGGCGTAGCTGTATGGGTGAAGTCCAACCTGCATGCTCGGCACCTTGACACCATTGACTGTAAAGGTTTTGAGGTGGTATGGCTCTTTGTAGATTCATGCTCCCATTGGCAAGGTTGTAGTCTGTGCTATGTATCGCTCCGGTTCGAGTAGCCCATCAGATTGCTCCGTCATCGACTACCTAGACAGCTCATTACCTGCAGCACAGCAACTCGGTGACCATGTAGTCATTGCAGGGGACTTTAAAAACCCTTTCAGCCCTGACCGGAAAATCACCTCCCACTGGGCCAAAAATGGCAATTTTTGAAAATGCATATTCTGGTCCAAAATTGATTGGAGATGTTGGGTATGGACATATGCACTGTGAATCCAAAGAAATTTTGTAGGATTTCATTGTACGAGACTCATAATACCATATTTAGATATGCGACTTTTGACGATTTTTCCTCAAAATTCATTCAATTTAGGCAATTGACGACAAAAGATCAGACAAGCAATGGCAAGCAGTGCTATAACTGGTCTGTGTTGACTTCAGAATGGAAAAATGTTATATAACAAGCTTGATATGATCCTGGTGTTCTACGGCAACCTAGACTAGAGTACAGCAACTCGTTTTTTACGGCGCTTGAATCATATGCGACTGCGCGATCCAGAATGGGTCTTTCTTTTTCTTGGGCGCCTCGTAAAGCTTGAATCCTCCAGCAGCCCTACCTACTTCAAGACAAAACCATGTGATGGACAGTGAGGATGCCGAGTAACTGGAGTAGCAACCCCAGCAACTGCATCAGCTATAATAGCAGCCGGTGCAGTGGCAGCGGTTGGCTTACTGTGCTCGGCGCCTCCCAGGGTGAATCATCACTGGCCGCACGCGTACGTACGTACGTACGCGGCACAGGTAAAGTCATATTGATGGAGAATGCAATACAGCTCATTCTCTGATTTGGACACTCACTGGCAAGACAATCCAGCTACCAAAATAGTCTGAAGCATTCCCTAAACAGCCGAGTGCATACTGCGTACCGGTGTACATACGCATGAAAATTCAAGAAACAATCGGCTGTGCAATTTCTGATAGTGGTTCAAAATTGCACAATTGTTGACTATTCTGGATTATTCTGGATTCATATTAGATAGCAATCACCATCCTGTAGGTGCCTGGCTCTGTGTTCAACATACAATACTTACATGTATGCACATCTCTATTGTGATCTGCATGCATGTCTGACCAGTACACTTGATTTCAAATTCAAATATTTTCAAAAATCTGACCTTCAAATTTGATCGCAGTTTACTTGAGGAACTTCAGCAAATGGGCTCACGACAGATAGCTCCTGCTCAGAACACCATGCCTAGGTGTCAGAAACTTCAGCATCGCTTTCCAAATCTCTTTGGTCTCCAGCATCCCCTGCGTCCGAGCCAGCTGCGATCTTTTGAATAGCAGCAAATTCGTAATCCTCAGAAAACGACTCCGACACAATTTCGCTGTCTACAGAATCATCCTCAGAGTCATTACCCGCCTCACACTGCTTCACAGGACTCCTTCCATCGACACAGAGTAGTTGAGCTACTTACCTTGCCGAGAAACAGCAGGGCAAGATGATGAAAACGAACTTTGAGCAAAACAATTTATTTGAACGATATGCCAAAATACGCACTTCAAACTCGACGCTCGCGGCTGTTCTGCTGTGCAGACTGGCCACATACGCTGCGTACACGTCGATCAGATCCTTCAGCCCACTGAGGAACAGTTCCAGGCCCCACTGATGTTGAGGCATCAGTACAAACGCGACGTACACCGAGGACGTATATATACGTCGTCAGTGGGGCAGCTGCACACGTCATGACGTATATATACGTCGACAGTGGTGAAAGGGTTAAAGGGGAAGTGCATCGATTTTTCGAGTATGGTCCAGAAGAAAGACAATTTGATATCGGTTCGAATGGCATATCTCTCGCTTCCATACGATAAGCCAAACTTGCCAAATCGCCAATTGTATACTCACGTTGCCATAGCGACCAGCGCAGTGATGACGTACGAAAGGCTTAGCTCCACCACAGAGAAGGTCGATCACTGCAGAATTTGGTCATTTTCAATTGGTTTATTGTATTCACGAAGTGAAAGAAGGGCTGTGTTCAATGCTGTAAGTGCAGTGAACTGTTTGTTAGTAGTCCTCTCGGTTGTGTACTTGGACGTGACACCGACAGGAGAAAGCTGGAGCGCGGAGACACCAGCAAACAAGCGAAAATAGTGACGAACAAAATGCTGAAATCTTGGTTGGGACAAATCAGACGTTCAGCATTTCCCCCAACCAAGGACCATGCCGTTTGCTCTTTCCACTTCCTGAAGATGATTGTGATGCTTCCTGGCGACTTCCCTATCTTTCGTAACATCTTCTGAAGCCAGGTGAGACGACGGGTGGTGGAGATTGACGAATGAAATAATGTAGTAGGTTTGAAAGTTTGCTGAAAATGTCTCAGGAGAGACGGCGACTTCCAAGCATCTTGTCCTGGAGGAAACCATTTCCTAGGCACAGTCAGCCTTGGGAAATGCATGAGAAGGGCGACAAATAGTTCACGGCACTAACAGCATTGAACACAGCACTTCTTTCACATCGTGAATACAATAAACCAATTGAAAATGACCAAATTCTGCAGTGATCGACCTTCTCTGTGGAGGAGCTAAGCCTTTCGTACGTCATCACTCCGCTGGTCGCTATGGCAACGTGAGCATACAATTGGC